CGATTCAACTAGCTCCTGCCCTATACATTCCCTTTGCCTGTCGTAGCCATCAAATTACGAACCCATGAATGGGTGAATCCATTGATGAGGTTAGAACTCTTGTGAGCCAATCACTTCCCCAAATCCCACCTCTAAACCTTGCTACACTGTGGACTAAGCCATCGCTCAACACATGAGCTTTCAGGGAACATGGTAGATCCAAACCCTGACACCTGGAACTGGGAGGTCGTGTCTCGGTACCCTTGGGCTCAGTGGCCCCTGTGTTGGGGCATTATCCTGGGTCCCAGCTCAGCTTGCTTCCCAAACCTCAAGCAGCAGAAACAAACAACAAAAAACCAAACACCAAACCCCAAGCAGGACAGAACTTCATATATAACTGTGAGCATGTCATTGCTGGTTTCAGGCTTCACATTCTGAGAACCCATAGAGGTTGTGATTGGGGCTTTGCCAGAGATGTGAGAAGTTTCCAGGTGCCTGCTAGAGTGCATTAGTGGGCCTTTGCACAGGGGGCAGCTCTTCCTAAGGTGGTGGCAGCCACTCGAATACAGCAGGAATGCTGGGTGCCTGGGTCTTGTGTCCCAGCAGAAATCCTCTACTGGCAGGGGGCGGCAGGCTGAGTGTCTTCCTCATCTGCCAACTGAGCCAGCACACAGAATGCTGAGATCCCTTAGAACTAAACTTCTGTGATTCAGGGGGCCATGTGGTGGGTAATTTTGCTTTGCTCTAACTCCTACTCTTCCCTTCCATCCCCTCAGCAAAAGATGACGCGACTTTGTCAGGAAAACGGATGCAGTCACTCTCCCTGAATAAGTAAGCGCCACCTGTGGGAGGAGAGGCCAGGGAACCGGGCCGCGCCGCCAGGACCGCTGCCGTGTCTCGTCCGCCCTGTGCCCTGGCAACGCTGCAGCAGCCCCTCACGGCCAGGAACCCCCCACGGCCTGGGGCCGCCTATTCATCTTGGCACAGAAATTGTTCGGGGGGTTGTGGGGGGCTGGGGGAGGGGGCAGCTGCTATCTTTTGAGACAGAAAGATGCAGGACAGCATTTCATATGTAACCATTTGAATGTTTTTGCTGTTTTTAGAATTCAGAACCCTGGTTGGGGTGCCTGGGAGGTGGGTAAGAAGAGCTTCCATTTGTTTGGTAGATCGCACGTTAGTGGGTGGTGGTGCCGGTCACAGCTGCTGGCACATTTGTAGCAACCAGCCCAGTCTGTGCTGCCTGGGTGCTTACTTGGAGAGGGGATTGTGCTCTGGGTCTCATGGCTTCTCCATCCCTGGCCAGTGTCTTCCAACTGAGCCCTCTTCTTCCCTTCCCTGCCCCATTCCCATGCATCTGGCCAGGGCTAGTACCCATTTTTAACCCAACTCATCTATCATTTCAACAAACCTCCGTTTACTGTGCAGCACCCAGGCAAAACCTGCTCCACAAATCCAACTTGTATATTTGGCAGATTAAACTTGACATTATCGTAATCCTTGTTTTGCAATTGTTTTTCTTTTCCTTTTTTTTTTTTTTTTTTTTTTAAAGACAGGGTCTTGCTGTGTAGCTGAGGCTGGCCTTGAACTCAGGGCAATCCTGCCTCAACCTCTTTCTCCCTCAGCTTCTTGAGAGCTGCAATTACAGGCAAGTAGTTCATCCTTTGGCTTCTGTGCCTGAGGCATTTTTGCCCAGAGTGTTACTGAGGCAAGTATAATAGGGTTGCCAGCACAGACTGAATCTTCTGTCAGGCAAAAGAGCAGGGTGCAGGGTCTGGATCAAAGATGCAGGCCCAGGATCAAGAGAGACCAAAAGTACTCTGTGGCTGGAGACTGGTCCATCCAGTCTCCACCAGGTTGGAGCAGCACTGAGGACTCCCTCCTCTAGCCTCCAGGTGCCCCCTGGTGGCCACAGCCTGATTCTGTGCTGGAAGAAGCTGCCTAGAAGCTGCTGCCCAGCAATGCCTGACTGCTGAACTCTTGTCTCATTTCATCTGTGCCCAGTGTGGCCAGGTGGGCAGTGGGGAAGAAGCTTACTGCTAGCAAGTGAGCTGCCTGCAGATTCAGGCTATTTAAAGGGAACCCATGGGTACTATCACCTTTACCCATGAGAGGTGCATGTGGAGTTGTGAATAGTGTCCTTTGCTTGTGGCCCTGAGGGGTCAGTGGGTTCTCGGGTATGTTGGTGTGACTAGGTGCCCAGAAGGGTGCGAGTGATTGCAGTGTGGTTTTCCTGAGGTCAGACAAAATGATTCAGTGGCCCAGCTCCAAGCTGCTTATACCACACGCCCCAGGAAGGATCCCACTGCTACCAGCACCTGTAGCTTCCCAACCCAAAGCTCTGGTTCCCAGAGCAGGAATTACAGTTTCTACCAATGCTCCTCCCCCTTCCCCTGGGATCATGCAGCTGCTGCCCAGGTTCAAGTCTGGGCAGCATAAAACATAAAATGAGGTCCTCTAGCAAGGTGGAGGGAGGTAGTGGATGTCCGCTGAGGTTCACTGCCCTGTGACTGCTCCAAGAAGGTGGTAATGAGGTAGGCATCCTGTAAGGTGTGTTGGGGAAGCTGGAGGTCTAAGGCTGGTGTACAGAGGCCTCGCTTGGTGAGGTTCCCCCTGGTGCTCAGGACCCGTGTGTCTGCAGGCCTAGGAGTGTGCTTCTGCAGGTCATGCCTGGATTCTTAGGCGATACTATGTGAACAAGAATTCTGGGGGCTGGAAGTGTTCCCCTTAATGGGGCTCAGTTGGAAGTTAGATCCAAGTTTGAATGCCTGTGGGACTTCACCTTTTTTCTCTGATGGCAGTTCCTTTTTTGGTACCACTGGGGTCAAACAGGCTCCACACACATACTCAGCAAATGCACTTAGCCCCAGCCTATTTTGCTTTTATCTTTTTTTTCCTTTTGGTCTTGTGACACAGGTTGTTACTATGTAGCCCAGGCTATCCTAGAATTCTCAGTGATCCTCTCTGCCTCAGCGCCCCCCCCCCCAAGTGCTGGGATTATAGGCACATGGCACCATACCAGGCTTTGTTTCTGTCTTTAAAGTAGGTATAACAAGGCCTCCTTCCTAACGTGGTGCCTCAAGTCTGTTAGGACTTGTCCAGCTGTCCTTTGCCATGCATCAAGTCGCCCAAGCCAGGTCAGCTCTCACCCCACCTCTGTCCTGATCTGTCATCTCCTATCTGTGTCCTTCGGCAACCCACAGGCCGGCAGTGTGATCCCTACAATGCAACGCTAGTGTGTCTCTACTTTGGTATGTGACTCTGGTGCTGGGAGGTGGTGGCCCTCCCTAGCCTCTCTACAGTCCTTTAGCTCCCTCAAAGGACTACGGTGTAGCTCACAGCTTTTTTGTATCCAGTTCCTTGCCTGGAACCTGTCCTCACCTATCCCCCATGTCTGAGCTCAACAGTAGTGTCTCGGTAACCCTCAAGTGTCCCCTCAATATGCAGCTAGGCTCCTGGTGGCGACTGTTGGGGCAGCACAGGTCAGTCCAGGACCCATGCTTTCTTGACCCAGCTGCCCATGCACTGTGGAGAGGCTTTTTCCTGCTGAGGAGAGGCACAGGACCCAGCCTATGTGGCCTTTTTCCCTACTCTACACACACTGGGGCCAGGCTTGAAGCAAGGGTCTTACACAAGGTCAGCATCCCACCACACTACACCCCTGGTCCCTGTGTGCTTTTGTTTTAAAGATGGTGTCTCCCAGGTTGCCCAGGCTGGTCTCAAGCACCTAATACTCCCATCTCAGCACCCAAGTAGCTTAGAGACTTGTTTCGCTGTGGCCTGGCTCTGAACCTTGCTTTTCTGTTTTTTGGTAGCACTAGGAGATTGAACCCAGGACTTTTCTCACTGAGCTCCATCCCATCCTTTTATTTTGAGAGGGTCTCAGTCACTGAGTTGTTTAAACTGGGCTTGAACTTGCGATCCTCCTGCTTCAGCTTCCTATAGTGCTAATGATTACAGTAATGTGCCACCATGTCTGCTTGAACCTGTCACTTTTAAGCCAGCATTCATGTCCCTCTGTAGGAAGGCCTATGTGAAGAGGTACATCTAAGGAAGGCCAGTAGACTTCTGCAAAGCCTCTACGTGAGGCCAAATAACATGTTTGCTATTCAGGATAGAAAAGAAGGAATAATATTGATTGGGAACCACTGGGATCTATATTGACTCACACTCAGGCCACCAGAGGTATGCAAATACCTCCTTGCACTCTGGTGCAGAGCCTTATGACATTCATCAGCTGTAGGATCTAAACCTCACTTTGCAGTGGGCTGGCACAGGCTATGCTTGCATTTAGTTAAGAACAGATGAGCTGTGTGCATGGGCATGGTGGTGCACATCTGTAAATCCCAGCACTCAAGAGGCTGAGGCAGGAGGATCACTGTGAGTTCAAGGGCAGCACTGACTACAGTGAGTTCAACACCAGACTGAACTACATAGTGAGACCGTCACAGAAAACGAAAAACAAACAGGAATAAGGTGAGCTGTGTAGCCTCACTGTCTCCCCAGAGCCTGGCAACTTCTCACTGTGACTACAAAAGAATGGCGCCTCTTCTGACAAGCTATGCAGATGTAAGGATAATTCACCATTTGCAAATCTTAGATGTAATTTGTCACCAGTGAGCTTAAGAGATGCTTACATAGGGTTGGGGGGGAAGCTCAGGGATAAAGAGCTTCTGAAAAGCATGTGATCAAACAAAAACACCTGAGTAAAACAGAAATAGGAAAAAATTTAAATCAGTGTTAATCAAAAAAATGAACTACTCACATTGTAACAGAAAAATAAAGAATTTCCATTAAGGTTCAGAACCAGCCTGTATGTGCAAACCCTCTGTCTAGGATCTGACTGACTGACAGGAGAGATACTGTGCCTCATTCTGGCCGCTTGGAGAATGACAGCACAGGGCCAGACTGCATGACAAAAGGAAGCCTTTGGAAAAGGTCAGTGGGCTTAAACATCAGTTTCACTGGCAAGCAGACTGTACTCATACAAAAGCCAGCTTCTTCCAAACACACAGGCAAGCATGTCCAAAATTACATTTTTATTACTTCCACACCTGAAGGAGTTCATGACCAGCACTGTGCTTTTGGGCATTTTTTTTAAAACAATAATTGAAAGCATTTCTTTAAGAAAAAGGCACAAGTTCCCTGAATAGGTATGCAAAGCTCCTCTCCCAATCCCTCCCCTTCTGAGGGAGCAGCCCTATGGGGATCCATGCTGTACCCTAGAAGCATTCAGCAAAGCAGCCCCTTATAGCCACCCTTCCCCAGCAGCTAGGATGAGGGCAGCGTTCCTCACAGGTCATTTTATCTTGAGGTCCTTCAAGGCTGACTCCAGGCTCTGCAAGAAGCGGAATGGGTTGGTTCTCAGCTGCCCTGCAGACACCCTGTGTGCTCAGGGGTGCAGCACAGCAGAGGAAGAACTTGGTCTTTGGAGCCTGGCAGACTAGGTTTAAATCCCAAGTGATGTGTAAGCAGGGCCAAGAGACTAGGGGGCTCCTGCCTGCTTACAGTCCCCATGCAGTTCCTCTTGTAATAGTGAAGGACAGGGCAAGAAGGGTCCACCTTGGGGCCTAGCAGGAGGTCAAGGGTGCAGCAAGCCTCACCTTCACATCCCAGATGCTCATGCCACCATCCATGCCTGTGGTGCAGAACTGCGAACACTTGGCCTTGCCCCCACTGAGCACTGATATCTGGCTGTAAAAATAATTAAGGGTTTAGGGATTCCACCCATGGTCAGAAGCTCCAGCACCCCAAGGAAACCATCTCCTGTAAGTGCCAGAACAGGGTGTGCACAACCAGGGACCACCTGGGAGAGAGCTCGGAACCAGCAGTGGGCTGAGCAACAGAGGGAGGCCCGGCAGATGCCTCAGAACACTTGAGGGCTGGCCACGGAGGACAGACAGTATCTGGGTGTGTACAAAGTACCAGCAGCATGTGCTGGGGCCAGGTGATGGGTTCAGATGATTCGGGGTGGGCCTAAAAGGCCTGCAGAGCCAAAGGTCTTCAGTCTGCAGAAAGAGTGTTCAGCCCACAAAGGGCCTAAGTGGCTGAGGAGTTCAGTCAGGAAGTCTCCCCTGACTGCAGGGTGGGACCCTGTGGCTGGCAGCTTTGGGGATTTATTGGGGAGGTGTCTCTCTCATCCAAACCTACCTCACCAGGTACTAGTCCTTCATCCACCCATATGCAGCTGCTGGTTGCAGCCCGGCTGTGCCAGAGAACTTGAAGGCCTCACCCAGTGATCCCAAACTGCAGAGTGGGGCTGCTGGTCACCCTTGCTGGCTGCTTTTTCCTTTGATACTAATACTTTTTATTTGATAACATAGACTGAGTCCAGGGTCTTTACACTGAGCTACATCCCTACCCTTAATTAATTAATTAATTAATTTATTCATTGACAGGGTTTTATAAGTTACCCAGGCTGGGCTGAAACTTCCAATTCTCCTGCCTCAGCCTCCCAGAGTGTAAGGATTGTAAGTGTGTGCCACGTGACCAGCTCAGTGCTTTTTTTTTTTTTTTTTTTTTACCTAAAGAGTCGACCTGCTTCCCAGGCCGGGCTCCTCACCTGACACTGTTCTTGTGCAGCGAGTCAAGGCCAGCGCCTGCCGCCGTGCCGCCCTCTGAGCTCGCCTTCTTGTCGAGGTTCTGGAAACGCTCCCGGGCTGTGAGGCCACGCTGAGAGCTCTGCTTGGGCACGTCCAGGCGCCCACCGAAGCTCAGCTTCCCAGCAGCACCATCGTAAGTAAACAGCACAGGGAAGCAGTCATGACCCTGCAGCCGGAGAGGGGTGCCACTGAGCACTGGCCTGCCAGGCACCATACCCCATTTTCTACCTGGGGAATCCTGGAGGCCCAAGTGAGGCCTTGATGGTGCCACTGATACCAGGAGACCAAGGCCCAGCCTAAGGTCATAGGCCCAGGGCCATCATTGGAGACAGATGTAAAGGGCTGCCCACCCTGCCGGCAGGGGCAGCATGTAGGTCAGACTTGTCTGGGCATCCTGCCCAGGCCATGGGATCCCCTAGCTGCTTACTCCTTTAGGCAGAAAGCCAGTTCCATCCTCCTGACACTTCCGCACATGGACAGAGGCACAAGAAAGGAACTGACAGGCAGGACAGATAAGCAAGTGGGCAGAGATGACAGGAAGAATAATCTTTTTTTTTTGGAAGCACAGAGGATTGAATCCAGGGTCTTTACACTGAGCTACATCCCCAGCAATTTTTAATTTTGAGACAGGGTCTCAGCTGCCTAGGCTGGGCTCAGACTTGGAATTCTCCTGCATCACCTTTCCAGACTACTGGGATTCCCAGGGCAGGCCACCACATGCCACTGAGTAGTACCTTTCCAGATTGCACCCCATACCTGCCTTTTGAGTTAGGCGTGGCCATGTCGATGGCCAGTAAAGTATAATCAGAGATGTCAGGATCCAGGCTATGAATGACTGCTCAATTCTACACTTCCCTCTTCTCCCTGCAGGGCAGGGGGGAGGCATGCTGCAGACAGCCTCCATCAGAACCTGTCAACACCCACGCTGGCCGCCAAGGCTGTGTTATACCAGTGCAGTTGGGAATTTTTATTACTGTAGCATAACCCAACCTAGCAGATGTGATCCAAAGATACGGCAAATATTAAATTAAAAATTTTTTTACAGTTAAAGACAGTACCATTTGTTCTCTACAGCTCCCCTCACTTCATTCACCCCCATCACTCTTTATTTTTATTGTTACATATTCACAGCATATGATTATATCCCTTGTGGGGAGCTGGTACATGTTATCCCATCACTCTTGCTGTTTTCTGGAGCAGTTTATATTCAAGGAAGTTTGTCAGATAATAGCACTGCAGTCTGTCCTCGTCCTCCTTATTCACCAGATCTGGTGCTACGCCACCTGTGGCTCTCACCCAAAGCCAAAATGACCAGGCAAGGGAAACGTTTTGAATCTGTGCAGGACGTCAAGGAGTCACAACATCACAAATAAGGCATGCAAGAGGACCTCAGAACTGCTCCAGAAGGAGCACAGCGAGGGGGAGAATTCTGAAGGGGATTAATGGCTACGTGTCTTTACTGTCATAAGTTTTTAAAATTTTTTTTTAAATATTGGATTTTTCTTTGCCTTTTTGAGACAGGGTTTCACTATGTAGTTCAGACTGCTCTTGAACTCACTTTATAGCCCAGGTTGGCCCCAAACTTGCAGCTATCCTCCTGCCTCAGCCTCCTGAGTATTGGGATTCCAGGTGTGCACCACCATGCCTGGCCTAATATATTTTTTGATCATGCTTTGTATTCTGCTCAATACAGACGATCAATGGAAAAAAGCAGGGGGGTGAGCCTGGGGATTTAGTTCACTGGTATAAGCACCTGGCTGGCAAGCGTGAGGTTGTGAGTTCTAGCCCTGGTACCAAAAAAAAAAAAAAAAAAAAAAAAAGTAAAGGGGGAGAGGGAGGTGGGGGAGGGATGGAGGGATGGAGAGATGCTGCGAGTTGTACTCATACATGGGAGGAGTGCTGTTCCTGCCCACTGCCCACCTATCCTGTCCCCTCCGCCCCACTTACCGCTGCCACCAGGCTGTTTTCAGTGATGAAGGTGAGGGCCAGCAGCGGCAGAGTTTCAGAGGCCAGGGTTGCCACACTGGGAGAAGAGCAAGGTCAGCCACGCTGCCCCATCCTCCAGCTCTCTTCTGTTGCAACCCTCACTCCCCACCTCCAGTCCCACACTCACGCCATCTTCTTGTCGGCATCAGCAAGGCACACAGTGCTGTCGTGGCTGACCCAGGCCACGCGGCTGCCACTGGCTGAGAAACAGACACCGTGCACCCAGCCACAGCTGCTGCTGGACTCGAACATCAGCTCTCCAAAGGGCATTTTGGAGCCCCACGGGGTGGGGGCTGGCCGCTCTTCCACCTCCTTGATGTAGGCTGAGAAGATCCTGCCAGAAGGCCGAAGGGGAGAAGCAGGTTTTGGGAGGGCTGGGAGGATTAGGTCCTAGATGGCCTAGCTGTGCCAGTGGCTCTGCATGACCTGCACCTTCACACTGAATAGATCTAGTTCTGTTTCCCTCTGTGCAGCAAGCCAAGGGGTCTCCTATAGCATCCTAGAAACTCTGGAAACCCTATGGGCCCTGAAAGCTGGCCACTGTCAGTCAAGGCCCAAGCCAGCACCCGTATGGCCAGCCCTGGGACAGCCCTGTACCCCCTGGGAGCACACTGACCTCCCATTTCTGAACTGAGGCCCTTTGCACGCAGCTCCATCGGTGCCCTTTCTTAGTTTTTATTTTGAGACATGGTCTCGCTAAATTACTAAGTGAGGGGCCAAAACGTGATCTTCCTGCTCCAATCTCCCAGAATGTTGGGATGAAAGCTATGTAACACCAACTTGGCATAATTTTTATTTTTATTTACTTACTTCTGAGTTTTTTGAGACACAGCCTAAGTAGTTTAGGCTTCACCACAACTGGCTTATTTTTATTTATTTTTTAATTTACTTTTGAGTTTTTTGAGACAGGGTCTCCCCTATGCAGTTTGGGGCTGGCCTTGAACTCTATGCAGCCCACAGCGGACTCGAACTCATGATGATCCTACTGTTTAAGTCTCCCGAGTGTGGATAGGTGTGTTCCACCATGCACAGCTTATTTTTTATTTTGAGGCAGTATTTGCTAAGTCATTAGGTTACCCACGCTCAAACTTGCATCCTCCTGCCTCAGTCTCCCAAAGTGCTGGGATGATAGATGTACACCACCATCCCTGGCTCATACTGATCTCAATCCATACCTGACAGAGCAGGGGGCTCCCTGCTCCCCACCCACCAAAAAAACCCACAGCACATCATCCTCTCTGTACCCAGGGCCTCTGGTTCTTGGAAAGTGGGGGATTCAGAGACTGTGGTGAAGGACTGTCTACTCAGAGCTAGAAGGAAATGGGGTTTGGTGATCACGTCAGATTCAAAGGCTGGGACCAGATTTTCTATATTCCAGGTCTTAAGAAAGTGAGCTAGGGTTTGTTGCAGCTCATCAGCCACTCATACCTCAGGATGAGTAAGTACACCTACTCATTCTCCCTCGGATGGAAGTGAGGAAACTACACCACAGGTAGGGATGGGTGGTTCTAAAGAGGCAGGAAAGGAGGGCTTGGAAGGACTTTGCTGACATTCAGTGGTGGCAAAGGATACCCTGTGCTGATGGGTGACCAGAAAGGATGTTGGATCCTTCCCACAGCAAACCTTCATGAGGCTCCACTGAAGCCCTAGCCCACCCTACCGGTGGCAGCCCTCCCAGGGAAGCCCCACCTCACCTGCACTTGAAGTCACAAGAACCAGCGGCCAAGAGCACGTTGTTGGGATGCCAGTCCAAGCTGAGCACAGTGGAGCGGATGGGCTTCTTGATGTGCTTACACACCCACCTGCACAGAGCCAGATGGGTGAGTGCCAGGGGACTCCAAAGCACCCTGTGCAAGGGCCCTGGCCTTGAGGTAGAAACCTATGCCCTGTCCTCCCAGCCCCTCAGGGTCCCACAGTGGCTAACCAGCCATGGCAAGATTTAAACCTGGGTCTCCCAGACTCAAGCTGTGCTCCTGCCAGGCCTCTCCCCTCGGCGAGACAAGGGAATCAGATCTGCACTACAGACTGACAGGCAAGCTGCCATGCCATTGTCAGGAAGTCAGAGGCACTCTGCATGGCGCCTAAAGCTGGTCTGTGTTTTTTGGTTTTTGTTTTTGTTTTTCTTTTTTTTTTTTTTCGTTTTTATCGGTACCAGGGGATCGAACTCACAACTGCACACTTGCAAGGCAGGCACTTATGCCGCTAAGCTAAATCCCCAGCCCTGGCCTGTGTTCTTGCAGTCATCAAGTTGGGGCTTTGGGACTACACGGGGACTATGCAGAGTCCCAGGCCTTTCCCACGAGGCCCAGACAGGCCAGACTCTCCCTGAGGTCAACAAGAACATGGCTGCTCCATCTCATCAGGTGCACCTACAGTTCCAGGTCTCCCCAGCCCACTCTGGCTTAGCCCTGATACCCACCAGTCATTCTCTTGCTCAAAATAGCAAATGGAGATAACTCGAGAGCCACTGCCCACGGCGAACTTGTTCTCATTGGGAGCCCAGCGCACACAGCGGGCAGCACGGTTGATCCGCAGGATGACAAGTGTAGGCTTCCACGTGCTGCCCTTGAGCGTCCACACGTAGGCATTGCGGTCTGTGCCGCAGGTCACGATGCGGTTACTCTCAGGGGCCCAGTCAATGCCTGTGGTGGGGTGGAGAGTGCAGGGTACACAGTAGGCTGAAGTCACTGCAGCCTGTGTAGACCATCAGTGGTCTGAAGGTGGGACTTCAAGGCCACAGTCAGACAGGCTGTTGCCTCTGCCCAGCAAGTGCACTTTTCCCTGAAATCCACTATTACTAGTTGTTGCCGGAGCTTGTGATAGAGTGGGACAGTGCTCCCAAGCTATCACCAAGCGTTATGGAAGGCAAAGCTAAGAGGTAAAAAAGAACAGTTGTTGGTAAACAGAGCTGCTGGATCAAGCTACTCCTAAAGGTCCCAATTCTTTGGAGTTTTTCACTATATCTGCCAACACACTCTCTTTATGTAGAACCTACATCAGTTTGAATTTCTTGAAATCTAAATTACCCTAATACAGCAAGTACCCCTCCTCCTTTCAGAAAGGCGATCCCAACCAGTGTGACCCACCTGTCACCTGCCCATTGTGTTCCTTGAGCTCATGCACCTTGGTCCACTTGGCTCCGCTCTTCTCGTAGATGTGCACCTCATGGTTGTTGGGGCAGATGGCGATCTCTGCGGGGCAGACAGGAGGGGTTTAAGAGTAAGGGGAGCCAGCCCCCTTCCCAACGCCCTCCACTAGGAACACACTTTCAGGGTGGGCAGCGCCTCACCCTGTATGAACCAGTTCTCTCCTTCTCCATGGAGGGGCCCCCTCAAACCCCACAGCCTCAGCTGGGACTGAACCCTAAATCCTCTACTTGTATCCACCCAGGTCCCCCCCCCACACCAGGTTTCTTTTTTTTGTTTTGTTTTTGTCTTTTTCGTTTTTTATTGGTACCAGGGATCGAGCTCACGACTGCCTGCTTGCAAGGCAGGTGCTTATGCCGCTGAGCTAAATCCCCAGTCCCGTAATCACACCAAGTTTCTTGACCCGTGGATCTCACGGTCTACTACAAAAGCTGCCCAGCACCTGCTGGTGGGCCCCAAGTCCAGCTCCTCTGGCTTCTGTCTGGGTGTGTGTCACCGCTTCCCTTTCTATTTTCCTCCTTCTCCTTACTGTTCTTGTTTTTGCAGTGGTGGGGACTGAACCCAGGACCTTCACACTGAGCTACAGCCCTAGCCTTTTTTACTCTGTTGAAACAGGGTTTGGGGCTGGGGATTTAGCTCAGTGGCATAAGCACCTGCCTTGCAAGCAGGCAGTCGTGAGTTCGATCCCTGGTACCGATAAAAAGACAAAAAAAAAAAAAAAAAAAAAAAAAAAACAGGGTTTTGCGAGGATGCTGAACTGCCAGGCTGGGTGATCCTTCTGCCTCAGCCTCTCAGTGGTGGGATTATAGGCCTGTGACGCCACACCCAGCTACAATCTTAAACTGTAACCTCTGCCTCTTGCCGTCCCCTCACAGCTCCCACCACTGCAGGTAGCTTTGCTGTCATTCCCTCCCGATGGAGACAGCTATATTGCCCACCCCACCCCGTGCCAGCACCCACAAAAGGCTGGTGCCTTTCCACTTGACTGTCCTGCATCCTTCCCTGGAGACTACTTCCCTCAGTGCAGAGACCCAGAGCCACTCACGTGTGCGGTCTTTGTTCCAGGCATGACAGCTGATGGGTTCCACCAGGAAGCTGTGGTAGGCCATGGCTGCTCAGCTCCTGTGTGGGGAGAGCAGAGACTCCAGGTTGGTGCTGCCCCAGCCCTAGATGAGCCCTAGGAAAGGTCCCCATTTCATAGGGACAATAGTTTTCTGGAAAGGGTGACAGAAAGCATCTCCTCTCCGGGCTGGTCTGGTGTGTTGCTTTACTCCCTCGGGCCTTGTTTCCCTCCTTCTACGACAGCAGGGGTCACAGGATGCCTCTGAGGCCCCAGGACAAAGGGTGGGATGTAGCAGGAGTGATCAATACCTTGAGACCAGGCGCCTATCGCTCATCACCTGTGACTCAGTTTCCTCATAAGTTGAACTCCCCCTCCCCCATAATGAAGGGAGATGATGAAACAGTCTTGTAAACCTCCAGCACCCAGTGGGCAGTACAGAGGCAGACAAGATTGTTCTACCCCTGGGCCAGGGTCTCAGGGAGTCCACACAGTCACAGGAGTGAAGAGGGCGGCTGAGTGCCACTGCAGTCCACAAAGCACAACCCTCGCAGAGTGGTGGCCTGGCTCCTGCCAACTGTCCCTACCCCTCATGCTCTGGAGAGCTTCAGAGGAGCCCTCTAGGTCCTTGTTCAGGCTAGGATGGCCCAGCCCGGAGTCCCCCTTCCCCAGCTTCCACAACCCAATCTCTCTGTGGTGTTGCCCCCAGCTGCTGCTGCTGCGTGGCATAGGCATCCCAGCCCTGGCACATGCTCCCCTGATCTTTGAGGCCAGTCCTGCCCACCTTTTCACACCCACAAGCGGTTCTATGCACTGTCCAATGTCCACTCCTGCTCTATCTGGCCACAGGGAGCTCATCCCGAAAAGACCCACCTCCATGACTCAGCTTCCCTGAGTTGTAGAGGCCTGAGGCACTGCCTGCAAGAAGTGACCTGAACCTCAGTTTCCACTTGTGCGGGATGGAAATGGAAAACCTGTCTCCCCTAGAGGTGCTGAAGGTGCCCAGACCTGGCACCTGGTGAGTGCTCATGAGGCAGCAGCTCTTGACCTCTAAGGGCATGATGGCACCAAGCCTCAGTTCATGCATTTAAAGGCTGGCTCCCCTGGCCAGCCCAGTCTGGGATAGGTGGCACCACAGAGCCAACAAGCTCACTGCCCGGTGGGTCTGCCCAGACTGCCCACCTGCTCAGCCAGGTGCCAACCCCCCTCTTTCATGCACACCAGGGGCCTTGGGAACTTCCCAGGCAGCACAGGGAACACATGGATGCATGGACACACATGCATACACACATACAGGGCAGGGTTTTGTCTCTCCATATTTAGAACTGGGACCCTCGTGGGTCCTCTGTTACCGTGCTGAGAAAGTCAGCCAGGTGCAGTGCACACTCTTGTAATCCCAGTACTCTGGGAAATGGAGGCAGAAGGATTGCAAGTTCTAGCCCAGCCGGGGCAACTTAGCCCCTGTCTCAAAATTAATAAGGGCTGAGGATTAGGGATGTAGTTCAGAGCAAAGACCCTGAGTTCACTCCCCAGTACGTCAGGGGGAGGGGGAACACACACAGCATGCACTGCAGCACACATGACTTCCTCCCCAGCTTCTCTCCTTCTAAGGCCTCTGTGCATAGAGGAAGGCGCAGAAGGCCGCCTCTGCACCTCAGCAAGCATGACGGGGATTTCCCTGGTGCTCTCAAGCTGGTCTCAGCCTAGGCCATCACTGCCCCCACCGGATTTGGGGGCGGGGGAGCCTGGAAGTCACCAGACTGAAAATTATGCTCAAGTGTCCCAGCCCAAAGGCCTCAGGTCACCAGTGGGACTCAGCCAGGGATAAGGGCTGAGCCTACCCCTCTGCTCCATCCCTCCCCTCAGGGACCAGGAAGGAAGCAGCTCTGGGACCTCAGCCTGGGGGCCAGAACTTAGACTCAGGGTCTGGGTTGGTGGGCAGAATCCAACTTCCCAAAAGCAACTCATGCCCCAGCACATCTCAGATGGAGCAGCTGCCCCATCAGTGGCCCCTACATGTCCTAGGGAGTACTGGGATTAGAGGGAACAGCCCCTCACCCAGCCCACTCCTGCTCACTTCTGCAATGCAGCTGACCCAGCAATGACTCCCTGAACCCTTCCTCTCCCGAATGAGGAAGTGGTAGTCAGAGATCATGGCAATCAGACCCAGGCAGCACCCTTCACATCCCACTGCTCTGTCTACAGAACTCTGACTCAGTCATTCCCAGGAAAGCCTCCAACCAGGAAATTCAGTGGGGTGGAGCTTCTGCTACTGCCCACCAACCACCATGCTGCAAAAAGCCTGGGGAGGAGGGAAACTCGGGCTGCTTCAACCCAGCGAGCTGTCAGGCCTCCTCATCCTGGTGGAGAGAAAGGCTGCTTATTTATTTTACAGGACTGGGATCGAACTCATGCCTCATCCATGCTAGATAAAAACTATGTCTGAGCTAAAGGTCCACCCAACCACTTCTTACCCTGGTCCCAGCAGAGTCAAGCCTCTTTCATGGCCGAGGAATGAGAGGTAGGAAGAGACTCTGGGAATGGACTTGGGACCAGGAGTTCACATACGGGCTCTGTACCCCATCATTCTGGAAACAGAGTGAGGTTGACTTTTGAGCCAATCTCACCAGCACTGGCTGAATCTCTACCTCCAGGCATCCCTCCCACACCTGTGTTAGGGCTTCAGCGACCGGTGTGTCCATGAAGGGAACAGCATGTGGGGTGGTGCTGGGAGGGGGCGGGGGAAGAGTCAGTATCCTTTAGAATTCCCTAAAGGGACACCACGGGAGCTTGAATTTCTAAGACAAGGTGGGAGTTTCTATCCAAGGAGTGCCAAAGACCATACACTGGGGTGTAGATTTTTTTTTTTTCAAGAGACATGAGGTTTTTGGCTTGGGATAGAGCCTCAGTGATAGAGTACTTGCTTAGCATACAGGAGGCCCCTGGTTCAAACCCCAGTATCACGAATAAATAAATTCCACACTCAGAAGCCCAGCATTTGGGAAGCTGGGACAGGAACATTGAGGTCAGCCTGAACATAGTGAGACTTGTTTCAAAAAACCATGAATACATAAATGTAATACTTTGAAGGGTGTGAAGGAACTTAGCAAGACCCTGTCTCAAAAAAGGGCTGGGGACAGAATGCAAAGCTCCAGGTTGCAATTCTTAGTAACACACATACACACTCCAGAAAAAAGTGGATCATGTATTCAAGCTTCTCCCCAGCCAATGGTCCGGGAAGGCTGAAAACCTCCAATCCAGGGTCTTCTCTGTGGACGCAGAGGGGAGCACAGAACCCGCCTCCCTCAGCCATTTCACAAAGCCTCAGGCTGCACAGCCGGGGGGAACTTTTTTTGGGTCTTGGCCCTCAGCTTCCCAATCCTTACAGCACTGGGTTGAAACCCTCGCTCTCTCCATACCGGCTGGGAACCCTCAGCCAAGCCTCCACCCTGGATCATTACCCAGAAAACGCTGTGGCCAGATGGAGTGCAGGCGGTAGGTCTTTTCTTGTTTGGTTTTGCTCAGTTTTCCGGAATCCAGAGGTTTGGCTGGAGGTGAGGCTAAAGCCAGCCCAAGGAGTTGCCAGGAGCAACTCCTAACCTTGGCTCTCCAGGAAGTCCCCGCCCGCTCTGGTGCTTAGGGAGCTGCCAGCAGTCGGTTTTGCCCCAGAGCTAAGCCTTACTTAACTTCCTGTTATGGGCAGGAGCCCCAGAAGTCTATGTAGTTCATACTACCCTAACACCCTCTTTTAGCATCTGACTTGAAAGCTTACAAACCAGGTAAGTCAAGAAATACAGATTTAAATAGCCATAAGGCATCAGAAAGCACAAGTTAAAATCTCAAAACAAAAAACTCAATGCTGGCAGGGCTGTGGAAAAGTTCTCATTTGCTGCTACCTGGTTGGGTCTTTGAGAAGTATCATAACTTTCAGAACCGTGTAAGAACAAACAACATTAATGTGAACTTAACTGTTGATAATCTTGGCCACGTATGTCCAGTTTGGTACTAAAAAAATCAACCACCATTTTTTAAAGGCAAATGTGTTCATTAAAACTGTAACATCCTGCCTGGCAAGGGCAGATCGTGAGTTCAATCCCTAATACCAAAAATGAATAAATAAATAAAACTAACAGTGGCAGGGTAGAAAAAGCTGGATGACTACAAACTTTAGAGTAAACTGTGATATTAAAACATGGGGGAGGGGGAGTTCATTATGGGTCTGTGGTAAAATACTCGCCTAGCCCTGGGTTCCGTCCCCATCATTGCAACAAACAAAAAACACGTTAAGATGCTATTTAACCACTGTTTCAGAAAAGATGAATCAATGGGCAATATGCAAAGACATTGGTAGCAAACAAAATTGACTTCCCTGGCATCAAGTTGAGGACTACCGCGTTTTTACCAAAAGTTTCACAACACATTCTTTTACCCCAAAAGCAAGACTGGGAAGTTTGTTTCTTTGGATTTTCTTCATTTTTGTACATAAGGAAATTGAGGCTGTGACAAAAGTCTCACAGCTCCATGACACCTTGGGACTGGGGTCTGATGGGAGCCCAGACCTCGGCTCAGGCTCACCAGTGTGTTTCGATCAAAGTAGCAGATCTTACGAGGTAACAATAGCACACATTGATACGTGTCTGGCACACTGCCAGGGGTCTCACACGCGCTCCAGCATTTAAACCTCTTGATCTGAAAGCTCCCCATTTTCCAGATAAGGTACATTGAGGCTTATACCCAGGTGGCGGCCAGGGGTCAGTGAAGAAAGAACCTGTCCCTCTTACCCAGGGTGTCGAGTCTGGCTGCTCCAGGCTACCGATTCCTGCTCCCACCCCCGTAACCGATCAGACCTGTCCGCCCGGCCGGCCCGCTGCACTCGCCGCCCGCGCCCCGGGAGGGAGGGGCCGCCGCGATCCGCTCCCGATCTCCGCCCGCACGGACCCCTGGGACCCCGACTCGGCTGGCTGGAGGCCGACAGAGGGGTGGCGGCCGGGGCGGGGCGAGCCGGGGGCGCCAGCTCATTTCCCGGCGGCAGCGGCAACCCGGAAGGCTGCGGAGCGAGGGGAAGTGCCGGGCGTGGGGCCCCGGCGCCCCAAATAACGGGGCGGCACCGGCGCGAAGCAGAGCTGGGCGGCCGGAGCAGGACGACGGCGGGCGCGCGGGCCTGTCCCCCGGAGGCGCGGGGAACCCGAAGTACACGCCCCGCACCTCGCGGCACCCCACTCCCCGCAACCGCAACCCCGGGGCCCCGCGCCTCCCGCACCTGCAGGGCCCCGCACTCTCCCCTTCCCTCCCCGCTCGACGGCAGGCGGCGCCCTGCTCGCCGGGTCCCCTCACCTCGGGGGTCCCGGCCGCGGACTCTGGGCAGTCGACGCGCCGAGCCGGCTCTGAGCCCCGCGCCCGGCCGCAGCCACTTCCTCGTGGGCGGGGGGCGGGGCCTGGCGGGCCGGGCCCGCGGGGGCCGGGGCGGGGACCCGGGGGCGGGTGGAGGACTCAGTCCCGCCCACGCCTCGGGGTTTGGGGGCTGTGGGGATCGGCAGTCTTCGGAGGTGTGTCCGGAAATCGCCTGCCATCGCTTCTCACTACTTTGTGGGTGGGGAAACTGAGGCTGAGAGGGGCGCAACCTGAGCAACCAGTCGGCAGACGCCAAACCCGGGGGGCGCACTTCCACCCACCGAGAGCTGGTGGGGCGAGTGGAGAGTCGCGTGCATTAAACCCAGACTGCTGGTGACCCCGCAGCTCAACAGACGCCAGCAGGATTGGGAGCCATCCTTGGGGCCGTCAACGCGCTGCTTGAATTGCACTCACAGCGCCGGACTGGACGTCGTGGGCGTGGCCAGGGCGGCCAGGCTCCGCCCTCCTGGCCCGGAGCGTTGGTCACTACGTGATTTTTTTTTTGTCTTTCGGTTCTGGGGCTTGAAGCTTGGGCCTTTGCTAGGAGCTACATCTTACCTCTCTTACCTCTTTTAAAAAATTTGACACAGCATCTAAATTGCAAAATTACCAGGCGTTGTGGCTCATATCTGTAATCCCAGCACTCAGGAGGCTGAGGCAGGAGGATAGTTGCGAGTTCAGGACTAACCTGGGCTACAAAGTGAGTTCAAAATCTGCCTGAACTGCATAGCAAAACCTTGTCTAAAAAAGGTAATAAATAAATAAATAAATAAATAAAGATAAAAAAAATAGCTAAATTGCACTGGCACGGCTGGAAATTGAAACCTTCCTATCTAAGCCTCTGTGAAGAGTGTGCAGTGATAACAGGTGTGGGCCACCATGCCTGGCCCCTGGTAACTACTTGCCCTTCTATTCCAGTCTTTCACGTTACCTGGACAGCCTGATTTGAGGTCTTGGGCCAGGGGGCCCCTGGCGGTCTATGAGTTCTGACCTTGGGCCTCATCAAGAGAAACAGCCAGGTGGCCAGGCAGAAGGTGAAAACCCTGCTCCCTAGAAGCTGTTTGACTCGAAGCCAGCCAGATGTGGGGTCTTCATGATTTGGCCCCCATGTAAGGTCTAGAGTCTTAAGACACACGTTCCTTTTGCCTAGGGCACTTTTCCCCACCTGTCCTCTCATGCAAGTTGGGTTAGTTCTTCAGGATGTGGACCACTGCACCTGAGGTCATTCTGCATCCGACACCCCACGAGAGGTGTCCACTATGTTCCCAAGGCATCCTGTGACACCAGTCCAGCCCCCCTTAACTGACCACTGAGCCTGTTCCCCAGAAGTGGCTAGCAGGTTTCAGGGTGCAATTATGTGTGCAACACCCCCCACAGGGAGCCCTGCTGGACTGAGGGAACAAGGCTGGGCTGTGACTCGGAGCCTACCACTTCACTGTATCTACAGGTTTGTTAGACAACCTTGACAACACAGGGGGATGGGTTTAACTAGAAAAAAGCTCTACATGGTCTGTACCAGCAGCTCTTCCCTTGGGACAAGTGCCATTGAATTGCAACTTTGCAGATGTCCAGGGAGTGTCTCCAGAAAGTCCTGTGTAGTCTAACTGTATCAGCTCCTACATTTCCCTGTCCTTGACCCAGATGTAGATGATCCCACCAGGTCACTCAATGTTGGCTGATCCTAATGCCAAGCTGAGCCAGGTGTGGTGGTGCATGCCTGTAAGCTTAGCACTCTGCAAGGCTGAGGCAGGAGAATCACCTGCCTGGGCAGTTGGTAACTTACCAAGAACCTGTCTCAAAAAAAAAAAAAAAAAAAGGATTGGGTTGTAGCTCAGTGCAAAGGCCCCAAGTCCTAACCCCAGAACAAGACAAAGTTAGAAACCAGTTCTAATTCTGCCACTCAGCATGCATTGTAACCTTGGGCAAGCTACACCTGCCATGCTATTTCTGCCCAACGGCCTTGCTGGCCAAAGGATGAAGCAGCAAACCTCAGACTGCAAAGTGATGGGGGCAGATGGAGGCATTATTTGAAATGGCTCCCCTAAGGGGTTGGTTTTCTAAGCCTTCATTGAATCAAGTATATCTCTTCTGTAGGGAGGTCTGGAATGGAGAACAGCTTGGACAGCTTCCTCTGTCTTCCTGGAATCTGTAGGCAGTGCTCAGGGGTGCAGATATTTTTTGTCTCAGGTTTCCAAGAAATGCAGCCTGGAGCCAGGGTGAGTGCATCTTCTCTCATTAGATGCTGGCTCTGCTCTCCAGCCCTCCTGCAAGCTTTGCTGCCTCTGGGCCACAGGCTGACCACAGGCCCAGCAGTGGAGACTAGAGAGGAAAACCTTCCCCAGCATGTTTTCTTGGCTAGAAAAAGGACATGTGCCCACCCTTTCCTGAGATAAGAGATTCATTGCCACCTGCTAACTTAGTTGGAGAGAAGTGGGAGAAACCTTGTGCCCCTGCCAAGGTTACACAGGCAGCAAAAGTCCCAGAGAGCAGCTATCCAGAACATGTTCAACGCTCCACACCCCATCCCACTATTCTGATGGGGCCCTTTGGCTGCATACTACCTCTGAAGTCCAAAAGCTTTCTGTGTGAGTGCAATAGAGAAATTTGGTCTACAGTGAACTCCCTCAAGGTACGGTCGAGCTATTTCCCCTCCAGTCAGGGCCATGGCACCATGCACTCCTGAGCCGGTCAGTGAAACTGGGCCATTCCTGGGGTGCCTCCACTCCCACCCTCATGTCACGGGGAGCATGCTTACCACTTGGAGCTCTCACGAGAGGGCCTGTGGTCTCCCTGAACTTGAGTTGTCACCTATAAAATGTGGCAACAATAGTTCAACCCTTGAGTCACTGATGCTTTCGGCTGCTTACCCCCACATTACTACTGCATGACTGTTGCATTCAAGGACTGGCTAACAACCTTTCCTTAGGAACCTTCTTGTTCTTGACTGCTTACATTTGTGGCTTTCAAACACTGTTCTTTTTATGGATACAGGGTCTCACTGTATAAGTCAAATTGGCTTGAAGTCACCATGCAGCCCAGGGTAGCCCCCAATTCAAATCAATCCTTTTGTCTCAACCTCCCAAGTGCTGGGATTATAGATGTGTACCTCTGTACCCAGTTCAAAGTACTTTTTATCACAATCCTCAGTAAAATGTACAATTTGTACATTTACTAATGAGAACATATTTTGAAAAATGGATCCCATGGATTTTCATGTTGTGCAGATACCAAAGTTTTTTAATTCACAAACTTGGGTGGTGAAGGTCAATCATTGGACATAGGCTTGTAATGCAATCAAGAGATGGAGCAGACACAAGATGGTGAGGCTGCTGCTGGTGTAACCCAGTGCACTGTTGTATAATAAAGAAATTTTAGTAAATATTAAATGATAAGAAGTGCTGGGCATCATGGTGCATGACTGTAATCCCAGCAATCAGAAGGCTGAGACAGGAGGATTACTGAGAGTTCAAGGCCCATCTGGGCTACACTGTAAGTTCAAGGCCAGCCTGAAATACACAGTGAGACTGTGTCTCAAAAAAAAAAAAAAAATATATATATATATATATATATATATATATGTAAAAAGGAGGTGTAAGTAAATACATAAACCAGTAAGTCATTTACTGTCACTGTATTATGCATTGTATGTAATTTTATATGCTGTACTTTTATACAACTGGCAGTCTAGTTTTATTTATACTAATTATCACCACAAACGTGAATAATGCATCGAACTCTGGCCTTACAATCTCCACAGTGTCACTAGACAATGGAAGTTTTCAGTTTCAGATTATAATCCAGTAGGGCCACATTATATATTCAGTCCTGATACAGGACTGAATTATATTCCCAGTTATATTTTTATTTTGAGACAGGGTCTAAGACGCTAAATTGCCTGGGATAGGCTACAACTTCAACTCTCCTGCCTCATCCCACCATGGGTGAAAACAATTTGGGGGGGGCTGGGGACTTAGCTCAGCAGCATAAGCACCTGCCTTGCAAGCAGGCGATTGTGAGTTCGATTCCCGGTACCAATAAAAATGAACAAGACAAAAAAAAAATTTTTTTTTCAAGAATCTTTGGTATGATGTTGGTTGACTCTGCTGATACTGATTCCCATGGATGCAGAACCCTTGGATTTGGAGGGCCAGCTCTAATAGCATTTAAGGTAAATCTGGCTTCTGAGACTGGGGTATGTGAGAACTGGTGTGAGTTTAAAAAAAAAAAAGACTGTGTGGCACTTTTCAGGGGAGCAGCCAAAATAAGTAAACTTTGTTTTCTTGTTGATTTCATGGAGTACATTGTTTCTCTAAAAAATCTCTGGATCTGCTGGTCAAAAACGTGATATTTTCCCCCTTATACTACTGGCAATTGAAAAAATTGAGCTACATTCCAAGCCACCCTCTTTTTATGCCTGACCCCCTTATGTGTGTGCTACTTTGAAGTGAACTAGAGCCTGTGGGCTGAGCCATATCCTGATACAGGACTGAATTATATTCCCCGTTATATTTTTATTTTGAGACAGGATCTAAGATGCTAAATTGCCTGGGATGGGCTACAACTTCAACTCTCCTGCCTCAGCTTCCCAGAGTGCTGAGATCACAGGCATGTGTCATCAGACCCAGCTTCTAAAATTTTTTTTAGCTGTGCGGTGGCACACACCTGTAACCCTAGTGGCCAAGCAGGAGGATCCTCCTTAGTTTAAGGACAGCCTGGGTTATGTGATATGTTCAAGGCTGGCCAGCCTTGACTATATGGCAAGATCCAGTCTCAAAATATCAAACAGTAAGTGTGCAGTCGTGAGTTTGATCCCTGGTACCGGTAAAAACGAAAAAGACCAAAAAAAAAAAAAAAAAAATTCTCGGGGCTGGGGATTTAGCTCAACAGCAGAAGTGCCTACCTTGCAGGCGTACAGCTATAAATTCGATCCCCAGTACCAAAAATAAATACATAAACAAACAAAATAATTCTCATTAAATTGCCCAGGCTGGCCTTTTACCTTTCCCTGCTTCAGCTTGAGTAGCTAAGATTACAGCTGCATACTACACCACAAAACCGTGAGATTTAATTTTGTTTTGTTTTGTTTTGTTTTGTTTTAACTCACTATGTAGTTCAGGTTGGCCTTGAACTCACGAGGTAGCCCAGGCTGGCCTCAGATTCGAAGTGATCAATCTTCTTATCTCACCCTCCTGAGTGCTAGGATTACAAGCATGTACCACTGCGCCTGGCTTTACTATAAATACATTTTTTTCAACATTCACTGTGTATTTTGACTATAGCACATAATGTTAACCCAGCATGTTTAAGAAATCATTCTCCTCCATTATAGATGCTTTTTTTCAGTTAAAGGTTAATCTAACTAAAATTTTATCTAAAAATAAACTTAAAAAGCCTTATATTTTTCTACTAAAACAGAAACAATATAAGGAAACAAACCCAAAAACATTCAGGATTTTTATTTAATTTTCTAGCAGACAATTTACATACCTTCTTCAACCTTTCCTTTAAGTTAGTGTGACAATTCCATAATAAACTATTTAAAGAGAAGCTTTGGTCAAGAATGGAATGAAATCGCGAAAACAAAACCAAACCATTGCTGCTTTTTAAAAAACCAACACTTTCACCAATTATATTCAAACAAAAACACACAATATTTGCACGGTATGTGTTACAGTGTTTCCTTGGGCTGGCTTTCCTCACCATCATGCGAATGGCAGGGCTGCGCTCAGCCGCCGTTCTCATGCTGGATGACAGGGTCGCTCAGCTTCACATTATCCGGAGGCCTTGGATCGAAGACTCTAAGGTCTTGGAAAAAGGAGGAAGACAGATCATTCCTGGGGAGGTGTATCGTTTCCCAGATGTCCTACACTACTGCACTGCCCCTCTGGCCCTGCCTTCATCCCAGCACCCCCTTGCCCCCACCTTGGAGTCTTGTGGGTCCAGATGCCTAAATCCCTATTGCCAAAGCCACCAGCTCTGGGCCCACACTCACTGCCACGTTTGTTGTTGTTGTTGTTGTTGTTGTTTTGAGACAGAGTCTCACTATGTATTTCAGGATGGCTTTGACCTCCCAACCAAGATCCTCCTGCCTCAGTCTCCTGAGTGCTAGGATTACACTCATACACCACCATGCCTGATGGGAAGATCTTTAATTTTTCTGACAGTCCTGCCAAAAACATGCATTCTCTGTAGTTCTGAATGTACATAAGCTTACTAAAAGTAACTGGTCTCCAAATTCTAAAGAATTTAGCACCACAATTTTTTGTGACATGACACTAGTTTTTTTTGTTTTGATTTTTGTCTTTGAGACAAGGGTCTCACTCTGCAGTTCAGGCTGGTCTTGAACTCACAATAATCCTTTTTGCCTTAGCCTCCTGAGTGCTGGGATTACAGGCATGCACCACCACGCCCAGCTGAAAATAGTTTTTTTTTTTTTTTTTTTGGTACCAGGGACCGAATTCAGAATCTCGAGCTTGCCAGGCAGGCACTTATGCCACTGAGCTAAATCCCCGGTCGACAATAGTTTTTAAATAAATACAATTTTGAAAAGTGACATAGATTTTCCCTCATTTACTATAACCTGATTATGTACAAACACTTAAAAGATCTAAAAAATTCCAGCAAGATATGCACCCCCACACAAACTGAACCCAAAGCCTTTGCCACTGAGCTGTATCCCCAGTGTCACCCCTTTTTTATTCTGAAACATAGTCTAGGTCACTAAATTACTCCCACTGGCCTAAATTTATGATCCTTCTGCCTCAGCTTCGCTGAGTGCTAGGATTTCAGGGAAGTGCCACCACCCCAGGCCCTGACTTCTCTTCTGGAGTCCCTTCCAGTTTTCTTCTACCAAGGAACCTCTCAAGCACTACTTTCACCTTCATATTCTCAGTGTCAGCACCATACCTGGCAGCTAGCACACACTTACTGCTTATTAAATCAATTAGTACAAACCGTAAATTACAACTGCATAGTGAAATGCAAGGCCAACACAGTGCCTGCTTTAACAACACCACTAAAGTTTTCCTCAGTGAATAAATATTTAAGCTAGAAGTCCCATCGCACTAAGAATGTGGTCTTCTGCAGGAAAGAACCATTTTCTAAAGGCCTATCACCCAGCCCTGCAGCTGCCACTATGTTTCAAGAAACCACCACCATGGCCAGGCCTGATGGGCCACACCTGTAATCCATGCATTCTGGGAGGCTCAGGGAAAAGGATCACAATTACAAGCCCAGTCTAAGCGATTTAATAAAACCTTGCCTCAAAAAAGGACAGAAGTAGTTTGCTATAAAGGCAATGGGTTCAATCCCCAGGACCTTGTGTGGGTGTGTGTATGTGAGGGGGGAGGAGGTGAGACGGAGTGAGATTATTTGGGGAGAGTTTGAATCCAAAATGATTTGTTCTGAAAGGTAAAAGTACCTTGAAGTCCCAAATTGTCATGGCTCCATCGATGCCAGTAGTGCAAAATTTGCGACAATCTTGCTTGTCCACCTCGTAAATAGACACTTGACTGAAAAAAAAAGCAGAAACAACAATTGTAATGGATATAGTGGGAGCTCAAGGATGATTATATACAAGGTCTCCTGAATATTAACCTGTCCATCAATATTGGGTTACAGCAATCTTAGAAAATATCCAAAAGCATTTTATGACCCAATGTCTAGGACAGACAAAATCAAAAGAGGGCGAAGTTATGAGCCTGCATGAATTTGAGTGATTTGGAAAAGCAAGGATGTTCCAGCCTTCACAGTATACAAATATTTTAGAACAGGTTGTGGGCAGAACCACAGCAAAGATGGAAATGGATTTTTGTTTTTTTAAAACAGAGGCATGACTACAACATGACTGAAATCCAATTGACTCCAAATAAAACTTCCCAAATCATCTCCAGGATAGTCAGAGCATAATGCCAGGAGCCCTCCTTGCATCTGAAATGAATCTCCTCAGTGTTAGCAGCAGGCAGACACTCCCCCAGATTCCAGCCAGCAAAGCAGAGGGACAGATAAATGAAACAGCCTGTCTTAGCCTAATTACCTGGAAAATGTTCAAGAAAACCAGTTCCTCAGTTAAGACTATTTTTTTTCTCCTCTGAAATGTCTAGAATTTATTCCTTTACGGAAGATCATTCTCTCATTGTGTAAAAATGATGTAAAATTAAAATTTTAGGTCCATGAAGTTTGGCTAGAATACAGCCAGCTCACTGTATATTCCAGGGTTGTGTTCGTGATAGTCATAGACCAGAGTGGTCATGACCAAGACCATGTGGCCTCTAAGAACTTAAAATATTTATGGGTTGGTCCTTTACAGAACAAATTTGCTGACACTGCTCTAGAGAAAACCTTGACTTCTACAAATAAAAGTAGATGATCCAGTCTGGAAGGCTTGTCTTTTCATTTTTCACCCAAAAGGTTCAAGAGGCAACGGAGAGCTATTTCCTCCTGATACACACACAGTCTGCAGGAAAACCTGAGAAATTCACAAGGAATCTGGAAGATGATGGGGAGGAAGATAAGTTCCTCTTCAATTCTTGCTTTTCAAGAACACACACATTTTCAGCCTCTTTTAAGTACTGTTGCCTCTTCCACTTAATATGAAGAGAAGCACAACCAGCATTTAAAAATAACGCTCCTAGCCAGATGTGGTGGTAGATACCTGTAATTCTAGCTCTCAGGAGGTGGAAGCAGGAAGACTGCCACGAGTTTGAGGCTAGCCTGGGCTACATAGTGAATTCAAATGCAGCCTGAACTGCACATCAAGACCTTGTCTCAAAAAACAAAGCAAACAAAACTTCTAAATTGTTGGGCTTTTCATTATTCCTTCCACCATCAACAAAATAGAATAAAGGTGACTTGATAGGAAAGGTCTAGTTAAAAGAGAAAATATTTGACACTCCATTGGAACATGATAATTTACAGTATCAAGAATGTGAAACACTTCTCCTCCTGATTAAAAACATCAAACTTTCTGGACAAAACAAAATTCTATTGTCCTTCTTTTTTCATTTTCCGACAAGGTCTTGCTAAGTTGCCCAGGCTGGGCTCAAATTTGACATTCCCTACCCTAGTCTTTCCTCCCAGAGCGCTGGCTATCAGCTATATATCGGCTATAAGCCACTATGCCTGGCCTCTGCTGTCTTTCATGATCACATATTCATGGTGAAAAATCAAGAGACTTCTCAGCTGTCATGATGCTAAGAAATTCTGTTTATGTGATTAATTCAAGGATTTTCTTGCTTACACACAGTTCTTGTTATCTATGATTAGAATACTTCCTGTCCTGTTCTCATTGGCAGAAGAACATGGCATTAAGAAAGTCTCCTGTTCTCAACTGAGTTGTTCACAAAGTGAGCCCAGGAAGAGGCTGCCCTGCCAGGTCCCCCACTGCATAGTCTACAGGATTCACACTCTTCCTGGCATATGCCTTGTGCCATCTGCACCCAAAGGGACAGAATGACTAGGTGGTGGCAGCTCCCTGTCTGTCATGAGCTGAGAATAAACTTGGCAGTCAGAAAGATAGAACCTTATTGCTGTCCTTGTTCCTAAAGGGCTGCCTACACTTGCATGCACAGGGACTCAGTGAGCAAGTAAGAAAAGGATGCCCTTCTGGCTACCTAACTACTTCTCTACGGACGGCCCTGGGAGTCCAGGGGGCCCCCCAGGTGGCTGATGGCACCTACGTGATGCTATTCTGGTGCAGTGTCTCCAAAGCGGTATTACGGTCCTCAGTCGTCGCCCTTTTGTCCATGTTGCGGAAGCGTTCCATGGCAGACATGTTGCGCTGGATGCTCTGTTTTGGAATGTCAAGCTTGGAGACAAAGGTCAAGCAGCCGCGGTCATCATAGTTAAAGAGCATCGGACAACAGTCATGGCCCTGAAACAAGATGGCAGTCAGCCCTGGCGGGCCTGGCATCCACCTACCCACCCCTCAGCAGTGTTCACCACCAGGGGCACCCCTTGCTCCTCCAAGCCAGCTCTGTTTCTTTTCTGAGCCTGCTCTCTTTTGTGCTGGTGACAGAGTATGCTTTGTCCTGGGCTGTGGAGACACACAGAGTACACATAGGGAAAAAATGGAGAGAAATACTTACAGCAGCCACAACACTGTTTTCAGAGACAAATGACACACTCAGGAGTGGCAGGAACTCGGTTTTCAGAGTGGAGACCCTGAACACAAGAACACTTGTCTCACTGAGCAGAACCATACCAACTTCTTTATAGACTCAGAAGACAACAAAGGACCCATTCTCATAGGGGTTGCTGTTCAAAAGAAGCCCCTTGACCTCTCCCCCTTGCAGGAATCTCAAGCATGAGGTGACCCCAATGCGACCCTGAGAAATAGATGCTTTTGGTCTGGGGGTATGGATCAGTGCTAGAGCTCCTGCTTAGCATGTAAGATCTTGGGTTGCACCACAAATAAAGAATAAGACACTGAGGCCTTCAGTACCCTCCTTCTGTGCTCTGTCTGCTTCTGAGGCCTGGTCTCCAAGAAATGCTTGTTTTTTCTGTCTCTGCTTTTTCCCTGAGTCTTTCTATCCCCAGCACTGGCTCTGAATGATTCTTTAGCTTACACAAGTCCAGCGCTTAGCTCTGATCAGATCTCCTCCATCAGGCTTTCCTGAACAACTTCAACATAAAGTGGCCTGTCTGCCTTCCTCCCTGCTAGAGTGTATACTGTCAGTATGCCTGGGGAGTGAACAGATGTGCTTCCAGGGCAGCTGGAAGGCTGGCACCACAGGCACCATTTAGAGTCAGGGCCGGTAAGAGGCAAAGCTATACTGAGTTGAAGTAAATTTAGTCTTAGGCAGTAGCTCACACTCAAATGGGCGTGTGTGTGTGTGTGTGTGTGTGTGTGTGTGTGTAACCTCTGCTCCTGTGGCTGATAAATAGGCTACACATACAGCAGGCAACTCACTGGTTGATTAATTAGGAGGAACTAATTTCATACACAAAGTGACACATTTTGAAAGCTGACTGTGTATGCCTCAGGAGACTCCTTAATCAAATTGGATTAACACCTTCCTACCAGTTTGAGCCATGGTGGTACAGAGCCTACTGGCAGTGAGATATACAAATTACAGGCTTGTCATGAATGTATTAAAGAACTAACACATTGTATTAACCCCTTACTATGATATTGACTTTTACTACCTGAAATATTAATGTTAGAGAAGCAGAAGGGTAGAACATACAATCTGACCAAACTGAAAAGGGCAAAAAATAAGTCAATATGAAGGTAGACAGGGATTTGTTTTTGTTCTGTTTTTTGAAATAAGGTCATCCTACTGTAGTCCAGGCCAGCCCTAAGCTTGCAAGGTAGTCCAGGCTAATATTGATCTTGTGGTTTGGGTCTCTGTGCTGGGATTGTTAAGAGTACTCACCATTTCTGGCTTAGAAATTTGTAATACACATTTGCAAGAACTTATTACATTACAATATAATGTTTACAACCAACACTGGCATCTCTTACTGCATGTCAAAAGACAAATTACTACATACAATGTAGCACATAATTCCACAGCATTAAAAATAAAAAGATAAATACATGCCTGTATTTATGGTAATCTTTTGGAAACTGGGGTTTGATAGTATATATCTATAATCTTAGCTACTCCAGAGGCTGAGGTACAAAAATTACAACTTTGAGGTCAGACTAAGCAACTTAGTAAGACCTTGTCTCAAAGTAAAAAACAGCTCAGTGGTGGTATTTACCTAGCATACATGAAGCCCCGGTTTCAATCCATGATAATGAAGGGGGAAAAGAAAAGAAAAAATCTAGAAGACTGTACGTATAATGGGAAGCATATCTTTAAAAAACATAAAACTGGTTAGGTGTGGTGGGATATGCTTATAATTCCAGCATTTGGAAAAGGTATGAGGATTGCTGAGAGCTTGAAGCCAAAACCCGCAAATGAATAAACAAACTGATTTTTAAAAAACCCATCTTAGGGGCTAGGAATTTAGTTCAGCAGCATAAGCGCCTGCCTTCAATCCCCGGTACTGAATAAGACAACAACAACAACAAAAAACCCCATCTTAAATCCAGTTAGGGGAAAAAACGTGATAAAAATACAGGGTATATTTTATTTAAAATTTCATTACAGTGTGACACATTGCCATTATGCCTTCTCAAAACATCCCCCACCCTACTTCCAACACTTATCCCACGGTTCCTGCCACGTTCTGAAGCATGTCTGTAAGTGCACTTTTCCTCTTTAGTCATACCAGCGTGGCTGCCTTGATGAACTGAATTGACTCAATCATTTTGACTGAAAGAAGTGCCAGAACTCACAATGGTGTGAGATTTGGTGAGTAAGGTAGATGAGGACACTCTGCCACGCTTTTATTTAACAGAAACTACTGTAGACAAGTGATATGGACAAGGAACACAAGAGAAGACTTCTAGAACTGCTTTACAGTAGCAAGATTGATGGGGTAAGTATGTTCCAAGTGAGAGGAAGTATTCTGAAGGAGATTCATAGCCGTGTCTTCATTGTAGTAAGTTTTATAAAAATGTAAACCTATTTTTGATCATGTGTTGTATCACACCTCTGAAGTCACATTTCACTGCCACTGCATAGCAGAGAGCAAGAGTCACTTAGCATGACTGAGTCCCCATCACAGGTCTGCAAGTCTCATGCTAACAGTGAGCTACCCTAAGCTGCAAACAGAGGACTAACACAAAAGGGATTCTAATCTCTCTTCTGCAGACACTTAATGAGTAAATATGCATTGTGACATCTGCCAAGGTGCCTTAAGGCTAAGTAGGCACCCCACTCAAAAATGAGTCATCACAATTCCGGTTTTTCCAACGGATACCAGACGTGCCACAAAGGGGCATTACTCACTCACTAACAAGAGGAAGAACACATTTCCTACTTAAGGCTTGTGGGTGACACTGGTATGATGTAAGGAAGTCAGAACAGTAAACTAAACTAGTCACTTTGAAGGATCCATATCAGTAGCAAATCAGGACATTCTTCAAAGAGATCCCTACCCCTCCTTCCATTAAGAAGCATTTCTGGGGCTGGGGATTTAGCTCAGCAGCATAAGCGCCTGCCTTGCAAGCAGGCAGTCGTGAGTTCGATCCCTGGTACCGATTAAAAAAAAAAAAGAAGCATTTCTGGAAGAAAGACTTTCTCTTACAATGTCCCAAACAGAGCACAGTGTGGCAGTGCATGCTGATACTCCCAGTTATTCAGAAGGCTGAGGTAAGAGGACAGTAAGTTCAAGGACAGCCTGGGAAAGCTAGTTAGATCCCATCTCAAAATAAAAACAGGACTGAGTGTGTAGCTCAGTAGTAAGAATGTTTTCCTAGCCACAGAAGATCCTGGGTTACATTCTCAGTACCACAGAAAAAGATGGACTGGAACTTGAAGTGCTGCTTGCAGTTCAGTTGGGATTTTTATGCTCACATCCTAATTTATACCCAGGGAAGGGCAGCCTCGGCCTGGATGGTGGGAGATTCCAACCCTGGCCCTCACCTTGCAAATAAAAGGCAAATACTCACTGTACACTTTTTGAGGCATCAGCAACAGACACAGTACTGTCATGGCTGACCCAAGCCAGACGACTCCCACTGGCAGAGAAGCTGACTCCATGGACCCAGCCACCAGTGCCACTGCCACCAAACTCTGACATCAGTTGGCCAAAAGGCATCTTGCTGCCCCAGGGTGTACTGGCTGGCTTTTCATCCACTTCTTTAATGTAGGCAGAAAACACTCTGCAGTTTAAAGGGTAGGAAGAAAAGGAAAAAACAAATGAAAATTTAGGCCACCATAAGGCAGCTACCATAAGATAATCTAGAACACAAAGAGACTGGCTGGAAAAAAGAACAAAACATGATGTCAAACCTCCCAAGACACAGAGTAGTTTAAAGTCCACCCACAGGCCAAGTCAAGAATGGCAAAGCTGTACTCAACCAGTAGATAACCACTGAACTCAATAGGTGACATATTCAGGTGACAATACAATGCTCTTTCCTCATGGATTGCACATTCTGAGGAAACCTTGCTGCCCCACCCCTCTCTTGCCCAAATCAGACCTTGCACTGAAATGACCACAGCTTTCTTTTCTGCCTATTTCAGAATCACTCTCAAAACAATACTGCAGGAAGCCATGTGGTCAACTACTGGCCAGCCTGCAACAAGCCAATGCTATTAACCCATTTACAAACACAGACACCTACAGGGGAAGCTGAGGGAGTCATCAAGGAAAAGCAGGCAGGTTCTGCAGCACTGCTTAGGTGATGGGCTGGCTTCCCCCAAACCTCAGGCCCCTGACCCAGTCTTTGTGGCAGAAGGCTCTGAGAGAAGATGGTACTCTCACAGCCAAGTTTGTCAGTCTTTTTCTAAATCACTTTTTTATTTAATTCCAGGTAGTTGTAAGATGTTCTGGTATATGTATAGTTAGAAAGCAGAAGGGACCAAGAGGGACACCTATCTTTCGGTATTCTAATGCTATTTCTAATTTATATATCTCCTCTTTAGGGAACTTCTGAACCTGAAGACTCCCTAAAAGAACTGTGGAATCCTCCCACCTTATACCCAAGTGACAACGGCAACAGGAGCTCTAGGAAAGACAGGTATCCTGTTTGAATGTTCACTTTGTGTGCTTTGATCCTGTGACCTGAAACACCATTTCTAAGATGATAGCGAGTAATCTATTAACTGATAATAGCTTACTGTTTTTTGCTTTTCTGTAGTTCTGAATTACTTGTACCTTACACTGTTTTGTTTTGTTCTGCCTTTTTTTCTCTTTTTCCTTTTAAATAAAATATTAAAAAAAAAAAAAAAAAAGAAAAGACAGGTATCAGAGACCTGGAGGCCAGTGAGTTATCTTTATGTCAGATGCTTTAATCAGCATCACAACAGAGACTGCTTGAGAGACCAAGACAAAGCCAGCAGATCGCAGCCTCCAATATGATGATGTGAATGGAACATACATTCAAAGACCTGCAGCTCAAAAAAAAGTCTACTTGTAGAAACTAATATTTTCTTTCCTTTTTTTTTTTTTTGTGGACATTATTAACAAGAGAACTGCAACCTATTTTCACAGCCAGATTTTCAGATACATCACAAGAATGAGGTGGTACAGTTTAGTGCCACTGACATCTATTTTCCAAGAGAACCAAGATGACTCTGGGTACCAGATTACAAACAAAAATTGAAAATATAAAGTTCCTGATGCTACCATAACCCCATCCTTGTAGCAAAACACACGTCTTTCTTTTTTTAAACACTGGGTATTCTTGAATCTAAATTACTAGGCAGATTTCCCAGAAAATTTCCATACAGCTACTGAAAAAAGCTGCATCCCGACTCCCACCCTCAGAAGAGTCAATACGAAGCAACAATTACGTGCTTTTCTTTTAGCTAAGAGGCAAAAGCTTCTTGGTAAGGAACACTTTTAAAAGCAATTACAGGATAGGATCATTAAAGCTCTTAGCAAAGTGACTGTGTTCTTTTAGCTTTCTGCTAGTAACAAAGATTTAATGGAAAAGGACAGCACAACAGCTTAGCAGTGCACTATTTAGCTATGTTTGGTTAATCTTAGTTTTACTCTGGAATTTGAAGAGCCCATTGCCTGGAGTATGAAATGAAGAGTAAGGATGTATTGTAGAAAGACAGATTGATAGAAAGGACAGACAGACACACACACAGACAGCAGCACAGACTAACCTGACACCTCAGGTATTCTGTCTAAGACTTCTTTGGCCCTGCTTTGTACCTCCTCCCTACCCCAATCACTTCCATAGCTTAGGTGACTTACACACGGCTCCTTTAACAACTAACCCTTATGAGTATTTGTTGAAGGACTGCTATGGTTTCGATCTAGAATGTCCCCTGAAACTCTCATGTCTTTAGAAGTGGGATTTCTGGGAGGAGAGCAGGTCATGGGAACACTATTCATCTGACCTGCTGATGAATTCGCAGCTAAATGTGCTGTTAGGTGGGGGGGGGGGGGGGAAGCCTTGGTTGGAAGAGGCATGCCACTGGGGGTGTGCCTTTGGTGAGTGCATCTCCCTTCCTGGCTCCTCCTTTCTCTTTCTGCTTCCTGGCTGCCACAAGATAAGCAGCTTCCCTCCACCATGCCCATCCACCGTTATGTTTCTGCCTTGTAGCCAGTCAACTATGGACTGAATCCCCTGAACTGTGAACCAAATTACAACTCTCCCCCTCTTAAGTTACGGATGTCAGGTATTATGTCGCAGCAACTGAAAAGCTTACTAATAGGACAAACAACAAACAGATCAAGTGAATCAATTTTTATTTCTTCCCACCTGCACTTGAAATCACAGGATCCTGCTGCAAGTAAAACATTGTTGGGATGCCAATCCAAGCTGAGGACTGTAGAGCGAATCGGCTTTTTAATGTGCTTGCTTACCCACCTATAAGAGGAAGAAAATTAGTTTATCTACATATCAAGTGACAATCCCCAAATGACCTACATACGTGTGCCAGGTGTTAACATTTGCACAATTCACACAATGGCCACTAAACTCTAATCTCAGCACAAGGGAAACAGAGGCAAATTCAACGCTAGCATAGGCCACATAGTGAACTCAAGGCCAGCCTGAACTACAGGGAGAGAGAGAGAGAGACAGACAGAGACAGAGAGACAGAGAGAGAGACAGAGAGACAGAGACAGACAGAGATAAAGATAGAGACAGAGACAGACAGAGACAGAGAGAGAGAGAGAGAGAGAAAGAGAGAGAGAGAGAGAGAAAGAGAAAGACTGGGGATTTAACTCAGCGGCATAAGCACCTGCCTTGCAAGCGTGCAGTCATGAGCTCGATCCCCAGTACCAAAAAAAAAAGAGAGAGAGAGAAAAAGAATGAAACACATATGATAGCCACCAAGTCTCCTGCTACACAAGAGGTGCATTTCTGAAGGACACAAAGAAAACTCTCTGTTCTGTCCCATGAGATTTCAGGTCACAGGTGATGTTAACCTTTGGGATAAAAACTGAACTTTGAGCTGAGCATGGTGGCTCATGCCTGAAATCTCAGTACTTAAGAGGCTGAGACAGGAGGACTGCTATAAGTATGAAGCCAGCATGGTCTCCATAGTGGGTTCAAGGTCAGTCTAAACTGCATAGCAAAACCTTGTCTCAAAAAGACAACAACAACAAAAAAAACCCTGAGCTTTGAAACTACTTGGATTTTTATTATAAATATTCAATGATTTGTTATTCCATTATGAGTGATGAGCTTAATTTTCTTTACAAGTCTCTAGGAAGCTACAAATTTTTTATTCTTTTTTTCTACAGAAAAATCGAACCAAGAAATTAGGCTTTAGGCCTTTTCTTGGGGATTAGGCTCTAATTAATTTGTTATTGACTTCAAAAAAGATTATTTGTGTCTATGCTCAGTCATTATTTATGCTTAACTAATTCAATTTTTGCCTCAAAATTGCTGTTTAAAAAACCAATCTCATCTGGTTATTCAAGTGTTGAGAAACTTGAAACTGAGTCAAATGCCTTTCCTTGAATGCTAAATTATTTTTCTACAGAATACTTCTTGAAAACCTATCTGAAAAAGTTCATCTTAAAAAAGATGAATTCTGAATTGGGTTTTTTTTTTTTTGGTCTTTTTCCTTTTTACCGGTACCGGGGATCAAACTCCTAACTGCCTGCTTGCAAGGCAGGCACTTATGCGGCTGAGCTAAATCCCCAGCCCCAAATTCTGAATTGTTTTAACTATTTAGTTATTTCAAATAATGAAAAGAGTGGCAAGAAAAAAATAATCAGTATCTCATATCATTAAATTACAAGCATCTGAGTGATGGTTTTAAAGTTCTCACATCATACCCATGAACTGTTCTACAGCTAAAGTACTGCTCTGAATGTACAATTTATTCAGGCAGGGTATGGTGGCCCATCTGTATTAACTCAGAACCGAAGCTGAGGCAGGAGGATCCTGAGTTAGAAGTCAGCTCAGATACATATGGAATCTTTGTCTCAAAAAATAAAACAAAAATTTATTCAAAGACAATACTTTTTACCATAGTAAACTTCAACTTACATGTGTCTCAATGAGTAAGAATATAAACAATTACTGTAACTGAAGCTTAGCTAGGAGAAAGTTCCCACATAAATTGTAATCTCTGACACAGTTCAGTCGTATAAGAATATTAATGGAGTTCAATTCGACTCATTACCATGAAATTTCCAAATGAGTTCTAGTTTACATGTTGTAATCTTATTTTTTATACCTAACTTGAAAGAAAAATATACATCATAATTCAATCTTATGGCAAATTCACTTTCTTCTTTTTTGGCGGTGTTAGCGATTGAATCCATGCTTGTATATGCTATACAAGCATTCCACCACTGAACTGTATACCACTAGCCTAACAAATTCACCTTCTTTCCAAAGGATAAAAATTTTGGTGTTTTACTAAATGAAAAATGTAATATTATCACCTTTCCTTACACTGTTTTGGTAAACAGTACTGCTACTAAGAGAAATGTATGTCATTTTTAATAGAAACAATACATTCCCAGCTTTTTACTTATGACAGTTCCATATTGGAATGGGTGAATGATATTTATCACCCATTCTGAACGTGTGCCAAGTAAAAGAAGGTTATTTTTCTCTTCAAGAAAGCAGGAAGTAGCCATAAAAGTAATCTTTGTTTTGATTAGCTCATCTACAAGCGATTTAACAAAATTTAAAAGTTTTAAACAAAAAAAAAAAAGAAGAAGAAGAGGCAGAGGAGGAGGAAGAGGAGGAAGAAGAGAAGCCTGATTATGGTTCTAAGATTCTGGTAAATTTTTTACTTCAGCAGTTTAAACAAGTAAAATATTATCTGAAGGTACAGCACTGGTTAGCAAGTAAGTTTAAAAGGAAAAACATGCCATGTGCCAAAATCCTAGGTATTTTAAGTAGGATGAGGGAAAAAAATTCCTCAGAGTACTCACTCTTTCAAGTTTATGATTTATATATCACAATACAAAAAGCGCAATTTGGGTAGTGAAGAGAACAGTTTATACTGTTTTTGTTCAGCATACTGCAGAACTTGGAAACAACAGATCTACATTAGTAAGAAAAAGATAGGAGGTTTGATTAAAGGTGTACATGTGAAAGAAATGCTCAGGAAAAAGGAGAATTCCAAGAGAGAAAAACCACAAGCTCTAGATGAGGAAAACCTGGAATTATACTTAAGCCTTCACACTGTGCCTCAACAGTCTCCAAAAACACAGCAGTCAAAATTGAAATTCTACAGAAAGAAACAAAAGAATTTCTAAAATAAGTTGCTCACCAGTCATTTTCAGATTCAAAGTAACAAACAGAAATGAGTCGTGCTCCACTTCCCACAGCAAATTTGTTCTCTAGAGGGGACCACTTCACAAAAGTGGCTGCGCGGTTAATCCTCAGGATCACCAAGGTTGGCTTCCAGACACCATCTTTCTGACTCCAGACATAGGCATTGCGGTCGGCTCCACAAGTGACAATGCGATCGCTCTTGGGAGCCCAGTCAATTCCTGAAAGTGAGATGTGGGTCAGCAGCTTTGTCTCATCAAGGACAACTGACTGCACTCTGGCAGGCCGAGTACCAGCCATGGCAGGATCAGATGAGGACTCCCTCCAAGACCCCTCCTTCCCCTCCTATGGCCCTGACCACCTTCTCAGAAAAAAGCAAGGATGTTTCTTTGCAGTCTCTAGGACCCAGGATCCCCATGAGGCCAGGTGAAACAGAGGTGGTTTGGTTTTTTTTGGTGGTACTGGAGATTGAACCTGTAGCGGCAGGTACCATCAATGTCTGGCAGCATTTTGATTTTAAATCCACTCTTATGTGATAATTTTGCAGTTCTCTCTACTAGACTTCAGATTTTATTTTTAAACATAAAAACAATATCCACATATCATTATGAGACAAACACTGCAAAGAGAAATGTCACACTTTGCCCCTATTCTTTGTGTCTGTCTGTCTGTCTTTCTTATCTATTTATTTATTTTGAAGTAGGGTCTTGCCCTATAGACTGAACTGGAACTCACTACGTAGCTCAGGATGACCTCCAACTCACAGTGATGCTACCGGCTCAGCTTCCTGAGTGCTGGCATTACAAGCATGAGCCACCATGCCTGGAATTCTGTCCCAAAACTGTATAAATATCATGACAAACATTTTCTTCATTTAAAAAAAATACCATACATTGTTTCAATGACACCGACACTGTCATGACCTCTCAAATGACCCCATTACTGAATGTTTTTTGATTTCCAATATCTGTTAAAATAGGTAAGAACAGAGTATTTTTTGTTAATGATTATCTGAAGGGTATTACTGTCACAATTTCAGCTGTATATCTTTAAGTGACTTACAGCAAAGTCAGTAGATATTTCCAGATGAAAATAGCTTAGTTTTTGTGGTTTTTTTTTTTTTTTTTTTTGAGTTATGGCTTACCATGAGATTGAAGATTGGTCTAGAAAACTCACTATGAGCCTTGAACTTGCACCAGTCCTCTTGTTTTAGCCTCCCAAGTGCTGGGATCACAGATATGTGCCACCGTGCCCAGCTCAAGTATTTTAAAACTGCTAAGTTTTTATGGGATAAAATATCAGATTTTTAAAACTTTCTATTTAATTCTGAAATTTTAACAGATCATCAAAAAGGTCACCTTTAAAAATTTAATTATAATGCTTGCCAATAAAGGGTGTATTATTTCTGCCAGTAGTTATCACACAGCTACATGGAAAAACCACTCTCTATTATTTATCAAACAACTTTAAAGTTAATAACTTTGTGATTCAACATGTGTTACATGACTGCCTAAAAATATATTCACTATTAGTATTTTAGGTTTTCTCTCCTCCACCTCCTCCTCCTTTTTCTTTTTAGTATGTTTGAGACAGGATCTCATTATGCAGTGCAGGCTGGCCTTGAGCTCACTTTGTAGCCCAAGCTAGTTTCGAAATCGCATTGATCCTCCTGCCTCAGCCTTCTGACTGCTGAAATTACAGATGTGAGTCACCACACCCAGCTTCTTTCTTCTTTTTTTATTTCAGGTTTTCTGAATGAAAAACTTAGAATATTGTTCTATATATTCATTTCGATAAGATTTACTTTGTGATAACAGAAAAATAAGCAAGACCTTGAAGAAAATAGCCTTTTTTGTTCTTTTTGAGACAAGGTCTCGCTGTGCAGTTCAGGCTGGTCTTGGGCTCACTTTGTAGCCTATGCTGGTCTCGAACTTGCAACGATCCTCCTGCCTCAGCCTCCCAAGTGCTGGGATTACAGGCATGAGCCACCATGCCTGGCTAGAAAATAGTATTCTTTTTTTAAAAACTAAAGCAAGATTTAAAAAAAAAAAAATATTTGGGGCACATACATGTTTTTTCTCTGATTAAAATGATTTATAAGGCCAAGGATTTAGCTCAGCAGCACAAGTGCCTGCCTGGCAAGCATGAGGTCATGAGTTCAATCCCTGGTACCAAAAAACAAACAAACAAAAAATTTTCAGAAGTAGGGTATAAAATGAAATTTTTATGGAGGACTTGTTCTCTAACTCAATTTCAATATTGACAACAGCATACAATCTCTGAAAATATGTGTGGTGGCCCCTATACCCCATCAGCTGGTGTTCACACCTTACCCGATCCTCTCAAGGGTATGCTAGAAAGATACCCAATGTAGTGCTAGAAAGATAATGGGATACATGGCATGTGTCTAAGAATATGTAAGGGCACAGGCCCATCTTGCTAAAGACTCTCCTGCTCTCTCCACTGCTGGCTGTGAAGCAAACTGCTATGAATGCTACAGCTTGAGACCCTTAGCAAAGGTCCCAGATAAGACATGGCAGACTCTAAACAGAGATTGTGAGATAAGAAATGTATTTTGGCTTAAACTGATATATTTATGGTATTTTTTATTTTTAATGAAAAATCAATATATCCTTTAACATCCAGATCACTGCCTAGGAATAGAGAGAAAGAGCACAGTGATTTTGGAATGATTTTTGACAATCTCAAATTTCAGTTCATATATCTATGACCCAAACTCTAATTAAATACACATGTGTTTTGTGAGAAATCTTCAGATGCTTTAACATAAAGTGATTTTAAAAACTAGGACCTAATTCTCTAAGAAAAACATGAGGAATTGCCTTGAGCTTGGTTTTACACTTCTAAATCTACTTCTGGACCTACATCTTTCATTCAAAAACAGAAGCTATAAAACTAGTCATATGTCCTCAACTATTTCAGATGATGTTAAGTTTTAATTTTCACATTTGAGAAGGGACAGGAACAGTAAATCATTCAGTAAAAGGCAAGTATTCATCTCTTTATTAATTTACTGTTGTTTTTTCCTACCATCAGAAGATTCAAAGGAAAAGGAGAAAAATCAAACATCTACCCTATTTTCTGTCTGTATCTCAGGGTAAACAAGCAGCAAATGCAGGTAAATTTCTATATTTTAGAAGTATTCTGGGCAGCAAAGAAGAAACAGTAAATTTAGAATATCACCTTTTTAGCCACTACTGAACTAATGGATATAGGTACTGATCAATAGTTGCTAATGTTATAAAAAGAGACTTTCTGTTCCTCCTTGTTGAGGCAACAACTACCACCTAACTTCAACTACAATTTACAGGAAATACAAAGGAATATACAGAACAATGTGAAACTTTGCAAATCTCGCTCTGGGAAACACTACAAAGCCAAAAACACGTTTCACAAAATTTTTTTTTTTTTTTGATCTTTTTGAGACTGAGTTTTGCTATGGAGTTCAGGCTGGCCTTGAACTCACTTTGGTAGCCCAGGCAGGCCTTGAGTTCACAGTAATCCTTCTGCCTCTGCCTCCTGAATGCTGGGATTACAGGCATATACCACATACCTGGCTCATTTCTTAATTTTTTTTTTTTTTTTGCCAAACAGAGAAAAGTAAACTTAAGCAAAAATAAAAACAAAACAAACTGTCTCAAAGTAAAATAATCTGAAAGAGGGTTTGGGTGGGGATAGGTCATTCAGTGGTAGCTTACTTGCCTAGCATGTGTAAGACTCTGGGTTTAATCTCCCAAACCACAGCAAAAAAAAAAAAAAAAATCCAAAAACAAATCAAAAGAAAACATCTAACAGGAGCAATCAAACATTTAGTATACAGGGAAAATCCAGAACTCTACTCTCTCTTTGATGCTTGTATATTCCTATTCTCTGTTGTATTCACTAGTCATTTCTTCTAGAATTCTTTAGAAGGTTTTGTTTTTTTTCTCCCTGTAGTTAATATCTTTCTGAGAAAACATGTCTGACCCTTGGTCTCCTGTCACAGAGTTATATTTAGATTTTTCCAAAAACAGTATCTTTGAGATCTATTGAAAAAAAAAAAATGCCATCAGAGTCTGTACACAGAGAACTGAATCAAGTTCAAAAGACCAAAAGAGAAGAGAGGACAAAGAGACATAAATATATACTTCACATTTTGGCTATTTATTGATTCTTTCACTTTAGCCTCTTCTTATTTAACAGTAGTTCTTAATGCTAAAATTCTAATTTAAAATAGGCATTTCCTTATTGTTAGGCCATAAAAGCAAAGGGACTTAAAGAAAATAGGACAGAACTTAGAGAAACAAGGTCATGGGAAAGCAATAGCAACAAAAATAGAAATGCTGTCTTTGGGCTGGGGATTTAGCTCAATGGCATAGTGCCCGTTGGCAAGCGCAAAGTTGTGAGTTCGATTCCCAGTACAAAAAAAAGAAAAAAGAAAAGATAAATGCTGGCTTTGGTAATAAACTTGGCTCCCAGTGCTCAAGAGCATTACATACAAATTGTTGGTAAATGCAAGCCGCTTATGAGTCATAAGCTTTTGCTTTTTTGAAAGTGGAGCACCAGCAGTTGTACCAGGGGTTTAACCCAGGGCTTTTGTGTCAAGTACTTCCCCAGCCCTTTTATAATTTTTCACAGGGTCTTGCCAAGATGCTACAGTATGTTGTCCAGTCTTGGCTTCAATCTGTGATTCTACTGCTCAGCTTACCAGAGTGCTGGCATTACAGGTATATGCCACCATGTGCTGCTACAAGTGTTACTAAGGAATGTTGGACAACTTACTTTTTTTTTTAGACAACTTCTAAAGACAGTAGAATGTCAAAAAATACTGTATTTCTCTGTGATTCAGGCAGGAATATCTTTTTTTTCCCCCTTTGGAGACAGGGTCTTGCTAAATAGTCACTCTAGAGCCTCAGCCTCTAGAGTGCTGGGATTGTAAGAGAAAGCCACCATGTCTGGCTAAAGGCAAGCATATCTTTAAACTAAACAGTGTTACTGGGGTACACATAAGAAAAAAATATCCTTATAATAAGTCCTACTTAAATACAAATGTTATTTTGAGGAGAGAGAAAATCCAAGGTAACAGTGAGAAATTTGTACTTGGAGAATTATGGAGAATGGTTTTCCACTTTTTTGTGCAGTACAAGTGACGTGATACAGGTGTTTGCTATACTACACCTGTTTCTATTTAATGTTTTAGAAATTCTTGACCCAAAAATAACACAAAGGAAACTCTGAGAGACACCACACCTGGGATCACAGTTGGCTCATGCCGTCACACTGTTTACAAGTTCACATGGTTGTTTTCACTTGCCTGTCTCACGTCTACTCCTCAGAGTAGGGTTCAGTACACTTTGCACATCAGCGTTATGCTGTACACCAGCAGGGTCAAGACATGCCCTACAACTCAGGTCATTATGAAGGTATGTTTCCAATTTTCTAAAGATCAGCAAATGCCACACATCTAAACATCATCACTCCCTTATAGTAGGCTCTTCAGTTAAACAGGAAGTACATGCTTTGGGAACATCGCACCAAGCCTGCACCTGCTTTCCTTTACCTGTGATGTGTCCGTTGTGCTCCTTGAGTTCATGAGCTTTCACCCACTGGCTCCCATTCTTCTTATAGATGTGAACTTCGTGATTATTGGGGCTAAGGGCAATTTCTGAAGAGACATACAGTATAACTGTTAACACTTCATCTGGAAACTGTCTCCACATAAAGGGATGTCATACTTGGCATTTTACAAAGATAGAAGGAATAGGAAAGATTTTTTTAAAAAGTAATTCCCAAATCAATCCTTGAAGAATTCTTTTTATTATTAGTGTGTGAACACAATGGGTATTCTTATTCTTAGTGTACCAAAAAAATTTGATTCTGCTGATAAACTATTACAAAGTTTTCCTTTCTAATAAACCAATACAAGTGTTGGAGATACGGCTTAGTGGTAGAGTCCTTGCCTAGCAAATAAAATTCTGTTTTCAGATCTTCTGGACCAATTCAAAATATTACTATGAGCAATGGATTTTTTTCCCCCACTGTTGGGGACTGAATTCAGATAAGACACTTATGATCCTAGACTAGGCACTGGTTTCCTCAATATGGTAGCAAAAATATAAATTACAAATAAAAAAAAATACATAAGATGGATTTTTTCAAAATTAAAATCTTTAGTGCTTTAGCTGGGTGAGGTGGCACATGCTTGTAAGCCAAATATTTGTGGAGGTTAAAGCAAGAAGACCACTGTGAGTACGAGGCTGGCCTGGCCTCCACAGTGAGTTCAAGGCCAGCCTGAAGTACATAGTAAGACCCCGTCTCAAAACAAGAATGACAACAAGAAACCCCAAAACAATAATTGAAATCTTTTGTGCTTCAAAGTACATCATGAGGGCCAAGAACACAGCTCAGTGGTACAGGCCTGTATGGCAAGCACATGGTCCTGAGTTTGATTTCTGGTACCAAAAAAAAAAAAAAAAAAAAAAAAATCACATACACACACACACAAAAACCCCCACCAAAATACATCATGAGGGAAATGAAAAGACAACACACTGGATGAGGAAAAATTAAAAATATTTGTAAATCATATATCTGATAGAAGATTTATGTGCATATAAAGAATTGCTCTGACACCATTTTAAAAAAAATTTTAAAAAGACAAAGCATCAGAATAGGCTTTTTTCCAAAGAGATATACAGATGGCCAATAAGTATGTGAAAAGATGTTCAACATCATTAATCATCAAGTGTATAAAAATCAAAATGAAGTTGGGTTGGTGGTGCATGCCTGTAATCCTAGCACTTTGGATGCTGAGGCAGGAGGACTGCTTCAAGTTTGATACCAGTATGGGCTACAGAAGTGAATGCAAGGCTAGCCTAAACTGCACAGCAAAACCCTGTCTCGAAAAAGAAAAGAAAAGATGAAAAAATTAAAATGAGGTAACTACTTTCTACCCCATTAGGATAGATATAATAAAATAGGTAATAACAATTTTTTTTTGCTTTTTTAACAAAAACAAATATTGATAAACACATGGAGAAATTAGAACCCTCTCATGCTGAGAATGACTATTTTAGAGAACATTGATAATTCCTCAGAATGTTGAACAGTTACCATATAATCCAGCAATTCAACACCAATGTACAGCATATAATGAAAACATGTCCACATAAAAATTTGTATGTGAATGTTTACAGCAACATTATTCAAAAGAGATAGTAAGTGGAAACCCCAAAGTCAATCAAATGATGAAAATAACAGAATGTGTTATAGCCATATAATAGAATATTAGTCATAAAAAGGAGTGTGGATATATTGAATAATATAGTGGAACCTGGATAACATTATGCTCTGTGACAGAAGGCAGACGCAAAAAGTCACATAGAGCAGCCCTCGCACACACACCAGCTACCACTTGGAATACATCTTGCCAGTAACTGGCACAGGCTGGGAAAAGCAGCAGCCAGCCTCACACCAGCACACCCAATGGCCACCATCAGATATCGATAGCCAGCACTGGTCAGGAGAACCAGCCAGTCACACTTCAGAGAAATTGTAGCCAACGTGGGAAGTGCCTCAGATCCCACTACCCACTTGTCTGGAAGAACCCAAGAAAATGTTAAAACAAAGAAGCAAAAGGTAGTCTCTAGCTTCCAACCCATGCAGAACAAGTCCAGGAGATATAAACACAGAAAAGACTGGGAGTTGCACACCTGAAATTTCTAAAGTGATGGAAATTAACATAAAGAAGCAACTTCATGAGGCTATAAAAGAATTTAGAACAAACATTATCTCAGGTAAAGATGAAATGAAAAACATAATAAAAGAATTGCTGAGTATCTCTAAAGAAGACATAGTAAAAAAAAAAAAAAAGAGGAGCATAGGAAAATGAGGGAAACCTTGAGTGAACAATATAAGAAAGATTTAGAATACATGAAATAGATTCAAAGAGATATCCAGGAAATTAAAAACTCTAGTGAAAGCTGGCAAAACTGCTTGAAAAAAACTGAAGACAAACTTTCAGACCTTAAAGACAGGTTTGCAGCTAGTGATCATAAAAGGGAAGATCTCTTAAAAATAACAAGGAATCAGGAAATAATTCAATGGCTGTAAAATGACACAAAGAATAATAGGTGTCAGCAAAAAAGCAGGGGTCAACACAAACAACATAAAAAGTCTGTTTACAGAAGTAGTAGCAGAAAACTTCCCAAGCATGAGAAAATGATGTGACATACAGTAGATAAGTGAGGCAATATAGAATTCCAGCTAGGCATAACCAAAATAAATCTACACCCAGACATATAATAATCAAGATCCCAGAAATTCAGCATAAGAACAGAATATAAAAAGCTGTTAGAGAAAAGAAACAGATCACCTATAAAGGGAAACCCATCAGATTCATGACAGATTTCTCAACACAAACCATAAAGAAGAGATTGAACTGAAAGAAAACAACTTCCAACCCAGATCGGTATATCCTACAAAACTATCTTTCAAAATTAATGGAGAAACAAGATACTTACATAACAAAGAACAACTAAAGGAACTCATGACCATCAAACTAATACTACCAAGAATACTGAAGGACATTCTTCAGAGAAAGATAAAAATGACCTAAGTTCCAGGAACAGCAGAGGGAGATCACTAAGTAGGGCAAGCAACTGAATGAAGAGGAAAAATCGGCAGCCAATGACAGGAAAAATAGCAAGGCAGAGATAAGCTAGTGCATGCTGGCCATAACCATTAATGCAACGACCTCAATTCACCAATAAAAAGAAACACAGGCAAACTGGATCAGGAGACAGGATCCATCAACATGCTTTATACAAGAAACACATTTAACTGGAAAGAAAATTCATAGACTAAAAGTCAAAGGAGAGAAAACAATGCTCTATGTGACAGGGAACCAGAAAAAAGTAGGGATACTTTGTCCATCAACTGCAGAATAGGTAAGAAAGATATGGTAATTTTATACAATGGAAAGCTACTCAGCTATAAAGAAAACCTCGAGGCTCTTGTATGTAAATGGATACAACTTGAGATTATGCTCACGGGTGAAACAGTTCAGAATCACGTGGGTAAACATCACGTTGTCTCCCTAATATAAAAAAATAAAGGAGTTAGTAGGATCCAAAATGCACAATAGTATTGTGAAAGTGAAAGGGGAGGAAATGTCTAAAAAGCGAAGGCAGTGGCCATTGTTAATCTATCTTGCTTTGAAGCCCTGTATTATTTTCATTGTTCTGTTTTGTTTGGTTTTGTTCTCTTTGTTTTGTTTGATTTTATTGTCTGATGGTATAAGCAGCTACTTTGAAAAAGAGGAATTATGGCAGCCATTGTTGATTTCCTATTGTCTTGTTCTGAAGTCCTGTATCACATTCATTGTTTTGTTTTGTTTTGTTTGACTCTTTTATTTTGTTTGGTTTTATTATCTTCAAAATAAAAAAAAAGTCACATATAATATTGAATGATTTTAAGCAAAACATCTAGAATGGTCAAATCTACAGAAACAAAAATTGAAGCAGGGGAAACACAAATTTAAGGTTAGCAGAGGAAACTTAGCCAGTGTCTCTCTCAAATAAAATTTAGGGAAAAAAAGACACACTAAGTATGTAAATCTGTAATTCAGTGCTAACCTAGCATGTACAAAGCCCTAGGTTCAATCTTTAGCACTGGAAGAAAAAAGAAAAGAAAAAGAAGGAAGAGAAGTAGAAAGAAAAGATAGAGAAGGAAGACGAAGAGGAAGAGGAAAAATAAAAGAGGAAGAAGTAGAAAAAGAATTGATGATTGTGTAGGGCAGGAATTTTGGGGAAAACAGATTGGCTGCTGGTGCTACAGATAGTTTCTCTTTGATGTATTCTCCTATTAAAAATGCTTGGGACCAGAAATATTTCAGATTTTGAGCTTTTGTTGGATTTCTGAATGTCTGTACAGATTTTACTAGTTAAGTATCCTAACCCCAAATTCTGAAATGTTCCAAACTCCAAAATTTTTAGAGCATCATGTTGGTGCTCAGAAAGTTTTACATTTCTGAGCATTTTCATTTTGGACTCTGGGGTTAGTCAAAATGCTCAATATGTTGCATAACTATGAATATGCTGAAAAAATCACTGAATTATACACTTTAAAAGAGTGAATCTTATTTTATTTTGCAGTACTGGGGATTAACTCAGGGCCTTCACACTGAGATACATCCCTAGCCATTTTTTAATTTTTATTTTGGGATGCAGCCTCCTTAAATTAGTAAACTGTTCAGAGTGGGCCTAAACTTTCCAACCTCCTGCCTCACCTTCACAGAGTGCTGGGATTACAGACATGTGCCACCATGCTTGACTAGAAGTGTGCATTTAATGTCCTCTTTACAAGAAACACTTTAATATATGAATCCTAAAAATGCCCAAATCTAAAATGTATCAAAGGTGTCAAAAGTAAGAGCAAAACGGATAGCATACTTACGGGTACGGTCTCTGTTCCAGGCATGACAGGTGATTGGCTCTAGTAAAAACTGATGCAGGGACATATTCTTAGTGTTTTCAAAGGATAGAAAGCTGCAATAAACAAAAAGAAAAGCATTTAAAATAAGAAGCAACTGATATTTAAGTTATCTGAGGATCGTGAAATGTTTTTAGATAAAATATTCTTTCATTAAAAAACAATCAATTTCAAGATCAAACCTTCTTTTCAATATCAAAACTTAATCATTTAAGCCAGGTGTGGTGGCTCACGCCTGTAATCCCAGCACTCGGGAGTCTGAGACAGGAGGATCATTGCAAGTTCGAGACCTGGCTGGGCTACAAAGTAAGCTCAAGGCCTGCTCGAACTGCGTAGCGAGACTCCATCTCCAAAAAGACAAAAAAAAAAAAAAAAAAAAAAACCAAAACTCAACTTAATCATTTAAATAAACTTTCATTGTAACTATCAATGTAGAATTTATTCAGTCAGGGGTCATCAATGGACTCCCAAACCATTTTGACTATCGGGATACAGGATATTTACACAGTCTTAAATATTACCTCACATAATGTTTACTACTTATAAAGGGAAAAACATGCTTTTATAATATAGAAATCTGGCAGGCAACACCTTAACAAAGTGACCAAACTTATCACAAACAGTAGAATGATCTAATCTGATAAGCCTCTTGATGGGAAATAACATAAAGTATACATCATCATTCATATATAATGACCTGATTTATCATCCATACTCAATAACTTTTAACAGCAAAGAGGATACTACTAATAATTATGGTGTGACAACAGGTCACAGGGCTATTCTGGAGAAACCTGAGAATTTGGTCAACCCACTCATGAAGTATCAATGCCAAACGCTTTTACTCTAAATTCAAGAACATCTGATTTTCAGTTTACAGAAAATAAAGCGGAGAGGAATTAGTTAAGCAACATAAGGAGGAAACAGTTAAAACCAGGATGTTCCTCTGTAGAACAATTGACCTGAACTATTTTTTAAAAAGGCAGTGGTAGGGGGTGGGGGACAGATGCAACTATTTTTAGATGAAAAAGAGCTATAAAAACTAAATTTCATAAAAGTTGACTAAAATCCATATGTTTTAAAATAACAATAGAAGACATACTTTGTACAGTAGGGGAAATTTCAGTCTGAAATAGATAACATTACATAGCAATATACAATTATTTTCATTCTCCTAGCTATGATAATGGCATTGCCATGACTTTGCTTCTAGGATATAAAAACAATGCAGTATTTAGAAATGAAATGTCATGTATTCTGTAACTATTTTTAATTGTTCAGGACAAAAAATACATTAAAGGTGAATGCGATAAAACAAAACAAAAACTACTACCCACCAGTGAAACAAGGCAAAGCCTATACAGGTGTTTGAGATCTTAATATTACTCTTTAAACATTTTACTGACACTGAAAAGCAAAATATGAAACATGTCATTAAGTTAAAAATCAGATAAAATTCTCTATAGATACCCAAATCTAACTCCACTGAAACAACCAATTCCTGAAACGGGGAAAATTTTTTCTAAAAATCAGCCAGTATTTCTTTACCCCCAGTTCTGTCATTTCTAAGAGGCATTCTCACTACAAACTGCAGTTTCAATATATTTATGTACAAGTCATGTTAACCCAGGGTGGGGACTGAAATGTGAGATAGAAATTCTGCTGCAAGCAGAAAATGAATGATTATGAAGTGAGCAATAAAAGTTCAACTGACAAAGCAGTGGAACACGAATGTCAGTGGAAAACAGAAGAAATACTTCTGCTAAAAGAACCCAAAGGCCGAAAAGAAATAAATGTACCCTTAAATAAAGAAACATCTAGTATTTTCAACTGGCAGAAAAACGTCAATGTTTCACACTGTATTGTAAGAGAGTAGATATTTAAGTCATTATTTTTTTTTTCTTCTGCATGTTCTGGAAAGTAAATTATGACTCACAAAGAAAAGGCCTCTAATTGGAAATTTAAAACATTTCAAATGAATGTTAGTAAGACTGCTTAATTTGTTTTTTTTAAAAAACTTCCACAGGCACACCAAATGGTTTCCCTATTTCCAATCTCCTTAAATTCTCCTGCCAGTTTATTCATAGCTACACAAAATAGCATGTTATAACAGAGCTATCTCTTCAATTAAAAGAAATTTAGTTTAAAAGCCAAATTTGAAAAGTTCATTTGTTAAATGAAGCAAAACCAGTTTTCAAACTAATAATCCAATTTGATTATTGTAATAAAAGTATGTATTTCATGTATAGCTTTTTTAAAAAGTAGAACTGCAGAAAAAGTTTTCTTAACTGAGTTTTATAAGCAATGTAAAAAAGCTTACAAAAAAAGGCAGTCACACAATATCATAATTACTTATAAAGTTGCATTTCTGATTTTGCTGTATCACTTAAGTTCTATATTTGAACATATATTCAGACCTGTGCTACTTTTATAATCCTGTGGCTATTTTAAGTCTGTAGACCAATACAAATTCATGTTAGTCAAACTTAGAATGCATCTAGTAATCATAGCTTGTATTTTCCAAATTCAGTGAGTGCAAAAGAAACACATAACAGAATTTTGTATCAGGAAAAACATGCCTTCTTACATAGGGGGATGATTATAATTTCTAAATAGTGGTTAATATTTAAGTGAAATTTGAAAATCTTTGTCTTAATAAAGATAGGAGAAAGACAGACAAAAATGTGGTAACATGACACTTAACAATTTCTATTTTCATTGTCCAGCACTGACAGAAATAACAACAGCTTATGGCATAGTATGATTCTAGGGACATCCTATTTCTTTTTCTTCTGCTGCTGCTTTTTTTTTTGGTACTCGGAACCTAACTCAGGCCCTCATGCTTGTCAGGCTCCTTTTCTTTAACTATCACTTTGAGTAGTCATCCTGGTGTATGATACGGCTAGTTGAGCCAAAAGACCTTGTATGTGAATCCTGGGGTAGACACATACTGGTAATGAGACCCTAGGAGTTACTTAATATCTTTGAACCTAATTTATTTTATCTGTAAAACAGATGCTACCACTGATACCATAAAGCTGTTGGTAGGATTACATAAGGCAACATTTGAAACATGAAGTACTGAACCCAACTCAAACCACATCTTAACTTTCCTTTCTTCCTTTTGACTCCAGGCTTTTGAGCAGTCCTTAGAAGTACCCTCTGAACTTGGAAATGTAGCACACACTGTAAATTCTTATGCCACCACAACTTGAAAGTATTCATATGAGTGAGAATTTCAGTTCCCTGTTTAGGGTTAGTTTTCAAGACTGTGATTCACCTAATTTCTAATCATTCTCATTACTCAACCCAGCAACATCAGGTACTTCAGCAAGGTCACCACACCCTCCCAGTGATCAGACAGGCTTCAATTCCAGGCTCACTGGCATAGCATTTTCAATTTATTTGTGCAGGATTTGTTTCAGGACAGGATTAGATAATTACATCAAAATACTGCCACTCTCTCTCCAAAGCAGGAGTTTTAATTATCCAATGGGATTCCCCCCTCCTTCCAGTGTGATCACCAAACGAATCCCAGAAGGTCCCATAAATACTCCTCAGTAGGAAGCAGTCACATAATAAATCTACTCTCTAACAGGGTAAACACACCAAACTGATCCATAACCTCTCTTTTGTTTTAGATTCCTGAAAACCCAAAGCCTACATGACAGCAAAAGTTTAATAAAATTGAGAGAAGAGGCCAGAATTACTAGCACAGTGGTGTACATCCATGATTCCAGTTATTTGGGAAGCCAAAGCAAGAGGATGACAAATTCAAACCCAGCTTGGGCAATTTTTTTTGTTTGTTTTATTTTGGCACTACTTGGAATGAATCGAGAGCCTTTATTACACTGAGTTACCTCCCCAACTCCTTTTTTTTACTCCTAATTTTGATATAAGGTATTAAGTCACTAAATTGCTCAAGTTGGGCCTAAACTTGTGATCCTTCTGTTTCAGCCTGCCCGAGTGCTGGGATTACAAAGGTGCATCACCACTCCATGCTATTACCTGGACAACTTGGGGAGACTCTGTAGCAAATAAAAAATAAAAAAACCACCAGTGGAGGGAATGGGGGTTACCTGGCAGTGTCCCTGAGATCAGGCAAAGGAAAAAAGAAAAAGACCACGATAAAGACTGAACTAAGATCAATTTAATCGATGAGTTGAAGTATACAGAAGGCTCCAAAGTCATATTATAAGAACAGATGGCTTCCCAGACATGGTGGCAGATGCCTGTCACCTCAACATTTGAGAAACTGTGGCAGGAAGATGGAGAGTTCAAGTCTTGCCTATATAGTTGGGTCATGACAGCCTCAATTTGGAACATAGTAAGATCCTGTCTAAAAACCTCCAAGGGAAAAAAAAAAAAAAACCTCCAAGAACAGATGGTCTTATGAGCAAAGATTCTAAGCTAAATTAACTAATTGACTGATAGATTTTGAGACAGGATTTTCCTGTGTGGTTCAGATTAGTCTTGAACTTGCTTATGTAGCTCAGATTAGCCTCAAATATGGGAATCCTTCTGCCTCAGCTTCCAGGTAGGGGGATTACAGGCGTATGCTACTACACCCTGCTTTAAACTACAGTTTATTAAGTATCTACCATGTTCCCAACCGTGCTGCAGGTGCCATTATGGGTACAAACAAATCTGATACACTACCTTGTGCCTCGGGGCTGGGAGAATGAGTAGGAGAGGAAAGACTATAGGCATGTACAGACTGCCCAATAGGAATAATAACAGCTAATATTTATTGAACATCAGCCTATAAGTGGTAACTATTCTAAGCAAATTTGTGCGAATAAGTTCTGTTGATCCTCAGAAAAACTCTAAGAATGATCCTATTGCAGATGAGGAAACTGAGGCACGGAGAAGCAATCTTGCCACGGTCACCCAACAAAGCAGTGGAGTCGGGATAAGAGCTGACGATTTTACACAAAAGGTTCCCCACCGAATCCGAACGCCGAGAATGGCAGAAATCTGACTTGGGAGGATGTCAGTGGGAAGCCGTATGGAACCGTCAGCTGCACAATTAAGGGCTGCCTGTAGGCAGGAGCTAAAAGCTCCATAGGCGCCTTTTGTATTCAGGGAGCTATTCTAAATAAAGAAATGCTTGGCTCCTTATGAGGATCCATTAAGGAAATTATTCTGTTTAACACAATTTTATACACTTCGATAGATGTTCACAGTAGAGGTGCAGGTAGGAATATGGGGAGCTAGAGCTGTTGATTCTGGCATCGGAAGCGGCAGAGAACTCAAAAATCTTGAAAAGTAACCGATCGGTACGTGCAGCAATGCCAGGAGCTCGGGATATTAGAGAACAGGGATCCCCGCCCCCTCAGAGGCCCGGGCCACCCCTCAACCTCGGGGATCCCCGCGGCCTAAATCCCTGGCTCTCCGCCCCCGCAGGCCCAAGACTGGTGTGAGATTGGAATAGAAGAGGCCAACAGAGCCAGACACTCACCAATGCTGCTCTTTACTTGAGGTCTGGGCGGTCTGGAGGGGCTCGCAGCGGAGAATTCGCGGACTCTGGTCAGTCGACGCGAACAAGCTCCGGCGGGCGCGGGCGTAGGACGGAGGCCGAGAGGGAGCGGCTGACAAATCCCGGAAGTGGTCAGCGCGCCTGCGCAGCGCGGAGGCACGCACGATCTGCGCACGCGCACACCTTGGGCGCGCGGCCGGGGACTAGGTTAGAGATGTTGGAGGTGAGCTAGGAACGGAGTAACTGCCGTCGCCCCTTAGAGGTGGCGCGAGAAGGCCCTGGCAAAGCAGTCTGGACGTCTTGTTTCCTTGAAACAGTCTTCAGGATAATGGGCTGAGTAGCTTTGTGATTTCCCAAGCTGTTTTTTCAGAAGATGAGTTACTGAGGATTGTGTGGCTTCCGACCCCTGTGGACTGGACGGGGACTAAATCTTTCTCTCTTCAGAAAGCCCCAGTTCAAGCTAGTTGGTGTCCTTATGGTTTCGTGTCCCTCCTCCCCTATTCTCCCTTGGAGGAAAATAAGAGCAGCTTCAACCCTACCTCAGTTCTCTGCTCCCAAGATGGCGCCAAAGGAAGAGTTGGGGGACAGAGTCCTCTGAGGCACGTGGAGAGAGGCCTACTTCCATCTTCCATCTAGACTGCTGCCCTCAAACCTGTAGAAATAAATTTTGGAGCAGCACCCCTACCTCCCTGTACAGGTCGCTTGATGTTGCTCATTTCTTCTCTGGTGGTTTACTTGACCTAGCACTTGATTGTAAAGTGATGTTTACAGAGCATTATCAAACTCAGTTTTAAACCCATGTTATTGTCTTTGGTGTTGAATTCAGTTATTCAGGGAGCACTAATGCATTGTAAGCCTTTGGCTTTTAGTTTGTCTCGTGATGGGGAACAAGAACAAACACAAAAGAAAGATTATTTTAAATTATCCAGTGCAAGACAATTTGGCAAAGGAAGGGCAGCATTTATGGAAAGCAGAGATTCCAGTGTCTGCAGGTTACAAATCCCTGTATGTAGAGTCAGTGCTCAGACTCAGTTGTTTAGACCCCACTCCTTTACAAAGGACAGTTCCTTGGAAGGAATTTACAAATTAGGTGGATGAGAGTAACATACGGATGAGCACTAGATTATGTTAGATGGCAAGAAATTAGCTCTAGAAAAAAAATACAACAGGTGTTCTTTTTTTTTTTTTTTAAATACTCTCAGTTTGGGCTTAAACTCATGGCAATCCTCTTGCCTCAGCCTCCCCAGTGCTGGAATTAGAGGTATGCTTCTAATTTTAACCACTGATGTCTTTTCAGTTAGTATTTCGTATTTTAGCCTAAGCAAAGAGTACTATTTGGTGTATTTGCATTTCATATTTTATGAATCATTTCAGAAAGAATTCTTAGCTTTGAGGCTTTTTAGATTGAATCGCTTTATTTTGAAACTAAGGAAACAAGATCATCGTATTTTGAGACTTGAAATTGTTGGGACAGTGTGAGGGCAGGGCAGGACTTTCCTAGTGTATTATCATAGCAGGCCTTACTGGTAGTCTTGCCAGAGTGAGGTGACTTATAGTGTTTGCTTTTTATACTTGTGTAATGACATTGATTTAATATCTAAAATGAAGAGTCTGCCTTTATTTGTTTACTTATTTGTCTTTTTGAGACAAGAGTCTCACTATGCAATTCAGGCTGGCCTTGAGCTCACTTTGTAGCTCAGGTTGGTTTTGAACTTGCAAGGATCCTCCTGTCTCTGCCTCCTCCTAAGTACTGGGATTACAGATGTGCACCACCACACCTTGGCTAACCTTTAAAAAAATTAGTATGAGGGGGCTAGGGATTTACCTGGCAAGGTTGTGGGTTTGATCCCTGGTACTCACATGAAAAAAATTAGTATAAGGCACAGTAGTTATATTAGCCTGTCACAAAATATTTGAGATAACTTGTAAAGCAAAAAGATTTATTTTGGCTCACTGTTTTGTATGTTCCAGTCCAAGATTGGACAAACCTGTTAATTGGGACTGTGGTGGCTATGCTAGATGGTAATGATAAGGTATCACCAGGTATAGGAAACTGCTTGCCTCACAGCCAGAAAACAAAATTGAAATTGGAAGAGGCCAAGATCCCACAGTTCCTTTCCAGGACATGATACTAAGAACTTCCCACTGGGTCCCACCTCCTTGAAGGTTCCACCTCTTTCCAATAGCAGCATTCTGGGGACACAGACTTTAATACAAGAGCTTTCGGGGGACATTAAGTATCCAAACTATCACTTGTATTTATTTAGAAGTGGGGAAAGAGAACGGGAGGTTGGACACTGCCATAGGATGATTTTATTTACTTCTGTGGTAAGATTAGAATTGGAATGGTAGCTAGACATGGTGGCCCACACCTGTAATCCCAGCACTAGGGAGGCTGAGGCAAGAAAATAACCACAAGTTGAAAGATAACCTGAACTGCCAAAGTAAGGCCTTGTCACAAAAGGAAAAAAAAAAAAATCAGAATTAGGTTGAATTGGAATTCGGTTAAGGTTCAAATCATCAGATACTTAATAAGTACTTACCAAGTGCCAAGTACAAAAGTTCTTTGATGTATAATGGGAATTGCTTTCAGGTAATCTCATAAATTGAAAATATCAAACTCAAAAATGCAAGTATATCCAACCCACCAAGCTGCCTACTTTAGCAACACAATACACTGTATAGTGGTTTTTTTTTTTCACTCTTGTGATGCAATGGCTGACTGGGAGCTGCAGCTCATTGCTGCTTGCTAGCATGGAAAGATCAGATTGCATTTCATTAGCCTTGGGAGAGCCCAAATTTTGAAGTATGCTTTTTACTGAATTTATATCACTTTTACACCATCATAAAGTTGAAAAATCTTAAGTTGGACCATTGTAACCTGAGGACTGTTTCTTATTTTGTCATAGATGAATGTCTCAAATATCAGTATGTCATAGATGAATATCTTAAATATCAATATGGCTAGGCTGTGGAGAGCCTAAATACAAGTATTTGGTCAAATATTATCCTGGGTGAATGAGATTGACTGTTTGTTTATTTACTTATTTAGTCTTTTTTGAGACAGGATCTCACTATATGGTCCAGGCTGACCCTGAGCTCACTTTCTAGCCCAGGCTAGTCGAAAACTTGCAACTATCCTTTTGCCTTAGCCTCACAAGTGCTGGGATTACAGGGGTGTACCACCACACCTGGCTGAAATTGACATTTAAACTAGTAGACTAAAGCAGATTGCCTTTCCCACTTGGATCAGGCATTGTTTAACTAGCTGAAGGTTTAAATAGAACAAAAGTCTAATACCCCAAATAAGAGAATTCTCTTGCCTGTCAGAGTCAACTGGAACATCAGCTCTTTTTCTACAGAACTTTCTAGTTTTCTGATTTGCAAGTTGACTCTGCAGGTTTTGGACTTGCCAGCCTTCATAATCATGTGAACCAATTCCTTGTGTTTTTTGGGGTTTTTTTTTTTTTTTTTTTGTCTTTTTCCTTTTTATCGGTACCAGAGATCGAACTCACGACTGCCTGCTTGCAAGGCAGGCACTTATGCTGCTGAGCTAAATCCCCAGCCCCTCCTTGTCTTTTTATAGATCCTTTTTCTATTAGTTTCTTTGATGAATTCTGATGAATACAGAAAACATTATTTTGACTTGGATTTGAAATCATAGGCTAAACACTTTGGTTGCCGGCTGATGGGCTTTTTGGGAAGTGATTAGAAAATAAAGCCTCTAACTCTATCAGATGGGTTAGTCCACTGATAAGGTCTTAATTTGATGGTATTATTGGGAGGTGATAGGAACAGGAAGTGAGGCCCACTTGAAGGGAGTGTATCATAGGTATACTATGTCCCAAGCCCCCATCCTCTCTAGTTTTCTCACTTGTTGTGCTTCTTAATTCTCATGAGATAAACAGTTTTCCCTGCCATGCCCTTCTACTGTTATTCTGCCCCACCACAGGCCTAAAGCAATGGAGCCAGTTGGCTGGACTGAACCCTCTGAAACTGTGAGCCCAAATAAACATTCTATCTTTTAAACTGTTATTCTCAGACATTTTGTTATATCAGTAGAAAACTTACTAACATAAGCATTTATTAAGCCTCCGTATCCTCGGAAGACCTTGGGTTCCAACTTTTGTCTCTGTATAAGAGGCTACTAAAAATATTATGTAGGCCCTCAAACACCTGTACTAGAATCAGTCAGTAAGGTGAGTTTGGTGGTATATTCTTGTAGTCTCAGCTACTTGCAGGTTGGGACAGAAGAGTCTTTTGAGCCCAGGAGTTCAAGACCAACTTGGGCAACATGGTCTGAGCCCATCTCAAAGGAAAAAAGAAAACGAAGCAGGAGAATCAGTAAATGGTCTGTGGAGTAAAGAGGTCCTAAGTCCTGGGATCACTCTCTTATGTTCTTTTTGCTTTTAGATATTAACTTCATGTATTATACTGCATTACTAACTCTCTTTTGTATTTGAGTATACGTTTTGTATATTTTGTCCAATTATCATTTTTTCTAATTATCATCTGTGGTGGGATTGTCTGTCACACTAGTTCTCCATTATCAGAATCATTCAAGTAACGACTTTTTTAATATTACCTTATATTTTTTAGTTTATTAAATCCTATTGCTCCTGGACTCAACTGATCTTCCTGTCTCAGTCTCCAAGTAATTGAGACTGTGGCATGCCACCGTACAGTTACATATCTTTGACACATACTGTATTGTGTTGTTTACTTTATGGTATATGCTTATTGCAGATTAGAGGGAATATTTAATTCTCAGTGGAGTACATATCATACACTCACAAATTAATCACTGTAGAGTTCATTAAGTGTTAAATTATGTAATTAATGTTGAAATATTTATATTATATAGAACTGTTTGTAGGATTGTTTTTTAATTCCCTAAGAGGGTTATAGGGCTATTTCAATAATTGTTCAAGGTTTTTGGACAGGATAGAAATACACTATTAGTTTCTCACTTAATGTAATGTAGGTTCCTATGACCTGAGAATTGTTTGCAAAAGCATGATTAACCTGAGATGGCTATAGTTCTTTTTTGTTTTATTTTTAGACAGGGTCTTGCTCCATAGCCCAGGCTGGCCTCAAACTCACGGGGTTCCTCCTGTCTCAGCCTCCCAAAAGCTGGGA